CCCCCCCCCCCTTGTCTTGGCGCTCCCCTTGTGTTTTGGCCTTTTCCTCTTCTTTTCCTTCGAGACGAAATTAATGATGGGAATACAAGAGGAAGGATGGGTTGATGTAACTCATGATTTGTTGTTTAGAGTCTATTCCGGGTATCGGTTTTTTTTTTGCCCCCCCTTGCAATTCTGACATGCACATAACCCCATTACACATCATGGATCGTTGTAATCGGCCATGAATTCGGGATCTCTCCACGTCAGCAAAGCCTGTGGCGCCTCAGTAATCAGATTTATGGCGGCGCCGATGCCGCCACGCGTGCGGAACACGGATTTCCTCTCGGAAGACCAGTAGTGTTGCCCAGACCTGACACTACTGGCGTCGCTGTCAAGGTCGTACCCTCCTTCGACTTCGTCGTCATCATCATCCTCATCGTCGTCGTTGTCGCTGCCACGGTCGAGCGGCTGCAGCGGCACCGGCACGGGGGGCATGTGCCTGACGGGCCAGCACCTGTAGACGCACCGGGTCGGGACGCGGCCGTGGCGGCCCGGCGGGTCCGCCGGCAGGCGGCAGCTGAAGTCCTGCCACGAGTCGAGCATGACCTCGGCGCCCTCGGCCAGGTCGCCGCTGTCGGCCCCGTACACGATCTCGGTCAGGAGCACCTCGGTCGGGCATTCCGGGCAGACGGAGCGCACGTGCCGCGCCCTCGTGGTCGGGGCTGCTCTCCGGGGGCTGCCGCCGTCAGTCCCTGGTTCCCAATTGTCGAAGACCGACAACGACGACGACGACGACGAAGACGACGACGACGAGGGCAACGACGACGACGGCGGCGGCGATGGCGGCTGCTCCCGCTCCCGCTCCGCCATGAAAGCCTCAATGGCGCGGAGGACCTGCCGCCGCGGCGGTCCCCACGGCTTCTTGCACAGCCGCTGCCTCAGGTGGCCGATTTCGTCCCGCTGCAGCATGTGCACGCAGGGCTCCAGCAGCTCGTTCGCCCACCAGGGCAGGCGTGGCCCCTGGAACGCGCGCTCGGGCGACGCCGGCAGGAAGTTCCAGAGATCGAATTCGTCGTCTGGGTCCGCTTTGTCTCCCCAGCAAGAGTCGGGATCGATGGCAGGAAAGGGCCCCGGGGTCTCGTCGTTGTTGGCGCCGTTCCAAGTCCAGCAGTGCTGCGCGATGTGGACCAAGACGTGGCCCGTTGAGCGTTTGACGACCGGTTCGACCACCAGCTTGCGCCAGGTCCGGCTGCTGTCGAAGTAGTATGGGTCGTCCTCGCCCGGGCCGCCGGACCATTGGGACCAGGTCGTCGACGCCGCCAGGCTCGAGACTGGCGACCCGGTCCACCCGCGCGTCCGCACGTGCCGGAAGGTGCGGTGGATGTGGCTCGCGCTGATGATGTACTGGGGACGGACTAGCTTGAACCTACATGCGTTGGATCACCCGTTGGTAGCTGTTAGCGAGTGGTTGGGTATTGATCTAATTTGGTCAGTGGTTGCTCTGTCGCACTCGTAAAACGCAGGACACGACCGCTAAAAGAGAGGGTCAAGCCAAAGGATGTTTTGCGCTGGCGAAATAAAGCTAACAGTGGATAATAGCTATTTCTGACTAAACACCACTGTAACTACCGCCACCTTCGTACCTTATCACGTTGGCGGCGGCACCGGCCGCGGGGGCGAGGTGAGGCGGTCCCCGGCGTGGATGCACAGGATGCAGAAGAAGATCAAGACGAGGAGGGTGACGTACCCGGTCACGTAGGTGCTGCACTCGGCCTCCTCGCAGTCTCGCGGCTCGTAGGGGCAGGTGAAGGAGCGATCCCGGCGCTGGTCGTAGGGGTGCAGGATGTGGCAGCCCGTCATGCACAGAAAGTGGCCGGGCGTGTCGCGCTCCAACAGCCGCAGGAGCTCCATGAGGTCGTCTTCCGGATCCCCCGTCGTCGCCACGCGCCCGAGCCGCCGGTCTTGGGACTCGGCGGCGGCGGCGGCGAAGGGGTCGTCGAGCCACGGGGGCAAATTGCTGCCGTAGGGAAGGCTGTCGCTGCCCCATGGGTCCGAGTTGTGGATCCATGGAGAGTTGCCGCTTTCGTCATCGAGGTCGTTGGCCAGGTCCCTCAGCAGGGCGCGAAAGCGAAGGCGGCGTATCAGGGGGTAGAGCCGCTTGCAGGTCAGAAAGAGAGCAGCGCTCTGCCCAATCGAGAGGTAGTCGGCGATGCAGAGCACAAGCTCCGCGCTCAGCTTTAAGACGGGTGGGTCTGGTGCCGGTTCATGGCTCTGGGACTGGGTGTCAACTTCCATGCCGCGGGAGTGTTACTTGTATGGTGGGTTTCTTTTTTTTTCTTTTTTCTTTTTCAGCCTCAAAGCGAGCATGTGCGAAGCCCGGATCTGTTCCTGTTGATGACCCCGACAGGGTTGCCTGTCGGGCCAGGACATATCGAGGGGGTGTGCAGACCCGCCGCATCGAGACTTGGGCATTTATTTGGATAATTCTGTGGTTCATTTGGAGACACGACTGGCCTTGTTAACGCTTCCATGGTGATGCCTGGAAGCTTGGTTGGTAGAATGGTGGTGGTGAAGCTTTCGGATGAGGGAGTTCAGGGGAACAAGCTCTCGGGACGTCCGAGTTAAACATGACGACTTGGCTGGTAGTGCTGCTGCGTAGCCGGGCGGCAGCAGCCACGGCGGCCTTATAAGAATCTGCACTCCAATAAAGCTTGCTGGAGCATCCCACAGTCTTTCTTGATTCCTTGACATGCGAAAGAAACTTTCTGGCCCAGGTGTGGAATAGGGGATGGAGAAGCGTTTTAGGTTGAGGGCCCGATGAGTACTCGGCAACCCCAAATACATTCGGGGCGCCGCGAGCTGTGTTGGATAAAAGACAAGCCTGTCTAGCTTTTTTTCGTGGCTTGTGTCCGCAAGTGTAAGCCATCTTTAGCTTGGGGTCCGTCTTCTGCTCGGGGTCCGCCACCGGTTCGGAGTTTGCCAAGACTGGCTGGACATGATCAAGCCCGAGTGCCGAGCTGGTTTGGCCTGTGACGGAGATTGCTGATGCCGGAGAGCTACTTCTAGAGCCAGCGGACCTTGGCAACATGGTGTTCCGAAGTGGTTCGCCGCAGGTGATACGGCGCATGCTCACTGCACGACGTGACGGTCAGGGGCTGGCTTTCAGGGACTCCTGTCAGGAGAAAGGTGACGGACGGGGTTAGGGTTGAGCTGGATAGCCCTGCATGTCAGGGTTCCGCTCCCGAAATTGCCACCTCAGCTCAGCTGCATGGTGGGGGAATCGAGCCCTGTGCAGATGCCATCCCGCGTATTCGCACGTCGTATAGGCGCTAGGACCAGCCGGGTTTTCTGTCAGATTCTTCTTTCTGCCCATTCTCCGCTCCATGCCAGAATAAGCGACGCGATTTCCGGCAACGTGTTAGTCCTGCCCGGGGGATCGCGGCAATGCAGCTTACTCTGTGCGGCTAGGACAGATGGCTGCACGCCAAGATAGCAAGATAGGCATCGCAGCGATCTGATGAATTCTGCCACGGTGATGACTCCCAGGGCAAGAATTACAGCAAATAGTATTTTGTTTCGTGGGCGATGGTCTGGAAGTCGGGGTTGCGGGTGAATGCAGAGGCCGAGCTGACATGCAGAGAGCTTGGGGCACTGATTCTGAGACCCTCAGACCCAGGGCTGCGGGAGGCTAAACGTCAGCCCCTTTAGCGACAACCCCCGCCTGGTGGTCCAGGGCCCTCGACTTTTGGTCGCCAAGACTCCACCCAGCACCACTATAGGCGTGCCAAGCTAGGCTGCCAACGCGCTATAGCACGTGCTGACTGCCGCATTTGGCAAAACCGACCCCGGCCACGGCCAAGGGGCTGCCTGTTCATATTATTTTGCTGGGTGTGGAAGTGAACTGGCTGCTGGATTGCTTGGCGAAAACGCCGTGGGATGAAGACAATACAAAACAGCGCCTTGCTCTCTCCCATTCCTTTTGCCTCTTACCTCTTGCCTCTTGCCTCTTGCAGCGACCAGATGAGCCTCTCGACTAGCATTCGAGATGCCGCCGCCAAGTTTTTGATTCTTGCTTGCTTGCTTGCTTCGCACTCCTTCTTGTCTCTCGCTCATTTATTTGACCTTTACAAAATTAGTCTGGTTTCTATTCCAAGTCTAGCCCCCTGACCCCTCCAATGAGCACCGAAAAGCAAGCCGCGCCGCCGTTGGAGGCTGGCGGCGTCTCGGCTGCGGCAATACCTCCCAATTCGACGGTAGAGTCGTCGTCCAACGACGGGGAGAAGCCACAAGCCAAAGGGGACGACAAGGCCGCCAGCGCCAGCGCCAGCGGCCGCCCCGAGCGGGAGGCTAACTTCAAGGACTACCTTCGCGTATTCAGCTATGCGCAGCCCTACGACTACATCCTCATGGCCTCGGCCGCCTTCGCTGCCATTGGCGCCGGCACGACCATGCCGCTGATGAACGTCGTCTTTGGCCGCCTTGTCGATAACTTTACAGATTTCAACGTCGCAGACCCTGGGGTTCGGGAGAGGTTTGAGGGCACCCTAAACCGCTTCGCTTTATACATGCTCGCCCTTTTCCTTGGTCGCTTCGTTCTCAACTACATCAGCAAGTTCTGCTTCCGCCTCATCGGCATCCGCATGTCAGCCGCGATCCGCCTCGCCTACCTCACCTCCCTGTTCAAGCAAACCATCCACGTCTTGGATTCGATGCCCTCGGGGGCCGCCGCCGGCACTATCACGAGCACCGCCAACACCCTCCAGCTGGGAATCTCGGAGAAGCTGGGGACCTTTATCGAGTTTCTCACCATGATCATCACCGCTATCATCATCGCCTTCACCTGGTCGTGGCTCCTGACCCTTGTGTGCATGTCGGTCATCCTCTTCATCGTCATCACCGTGTCCATATTGCTGCCATTTATCATCAAGGGCCAGTCCCGCCAGACCAGAGCGGAAACGAAAGCCAACTCGGTGGCCAGCGAGGCCTTCAGCAGCATTCGCATGGTGACTGCCTGCGGAGCCGAGGAGCGTATCGCTGCCAGATATGCCGAGTGGGCGCACAAGGCGAGGCAGTTTGGCCAGGCCACCACTCCTCTGCTCTCGACACAGTTCGCCTTGGTCTTCTTTGCCATATTCGCTTCCTGGGCCCTCACGTTCTGGTATGGAACCCGCATGTTCGTCGACGGCCGCATCAGCAGTATCGGAGCCATCATCATCGTTCTGATGTCAGTCATGATCATGGTCATGTCCCTCGAGCGCATATCGTCCCCGCTCATCGCTGTGGCCAAGGCTATGGTTGCTGCCTGCGAGTTCTTTATCGTCATTGACGCCCCGCAGCCCGACCCCGGCCACCTCAAGGAGCCCGACGTAAGGGCTAGCGCCGACATCTCCTTCTCGGGCGTCGACTTTGCTTACCCAAGCCGCCCGCACGTCAAAGTTCTCGACAACCTCAGCATGGTCTTTCCTGCTGGCAAAGTTACTGCTATCGTCGGCCCGTCGGGTTCTGGAAAGAGCACCATCGTTGGCCTGATCGAGAGGTGGTACAGTCTGAAAAACGACCAACACATACTGGAGAAGGCTATCGAAAAAGACAAGAACAAAGAGGCCAAGGAGAAGAAGAAGGCGAAGAAGGCCAAGAAGAACGGTGGCAGCCCCATGCCGGAGGACTCTGACGACGAAGATGAGGAGGGCGAGGCCAGCTCTGCCCTCTTTGGAATCACCACCGGTCCCCCCGTACAGCTCAAAGGCAGCATCTCGACTTGCGGCCACGAGCTTGACGAGATTAATGTCAAATGGTGGAGGTCCCAGATCGGTCTGGTCCAGCAGGAGCCGTTTCTCTTCAACGACACCATCGAGAAGAACGTCATGTATGGCCTCGTCGGCTCCGAGTTTGAAAACGAGTCGGAGGAGAGGAAGAAGGAGCTGGTGCGTGAGGCCTGCGGCGAGGCGTTTGCAGACGAGTTTATCGACAAGCTGCCGGATGGCTATCAGACCCTTGTTGGAGATTCGGGAACCAAGCTCTCGGGTGGCCAGCGGCAGCGCATCGCCATCGCTCGGAGCATCATCAAACGGCCCAAGATTCTAATCCTTGACGAGGCGACCTCGGCTATCGACGTGCGAGGCGAACGCATTGTGCAGCAAGCTCTTGAGAGGGTTTCCCGCAACCGGACCACCATCACGATTGCGCATCGGCTTTCCACCATCAAGACGGCTGACAAGATCTGCGTCATGAAGAAGGGGCGGTGCGTCGAAGAGGGGACGCACGACTCGCTTCTCCAGGACCCGACGGGCGTCTACTACGGGTTGGTGCATGCCCAGCGGCTGTCCCTCGGCGACGAGAGCGACGATGACAGCGACGGTCCGGCCGGCGAGAGCCTCGGCGAAACCATGGCCAGGACCAAGAGCGCGGCATTATCCGAGAACGAGGTCTCGACCATTGCCGGGTGGCGGGAACGGGGCACCATCAACAGCTTCGGGCGCTTGCTTGCCGAGCAAAAGTCACGCATGCCCTTGTACGTCATCTCGGTGGTCGCCGCCATGATGGCCGGCTCGGCCGTCCCGCTGCAGGCGTACCTCTTCGCCAAGACCATTGCCGTCTTCCAGCTGCCCATGCCGGAAATCCTGAGCGAGGGCTCTTTCCTGTCTCTTATGTGGTTCGTCATGGCTCTCGGGGTCGGCGTCGCGTACTTTGTGCTGGGTTACAGCTCCATCTACCTGCAGCACTACATTTGCGCCGTTTACCGTCAGCAGTACTTCCGTGCCATCCTATACCAGCGCATCCCATACTACGACGACGAGCCCAACTCGACGGGTTCCCTAACCGCGCGTGTCGCCGGAGACCCAAAGCAGCTTGAGGAGCTCCTGGGAATCAACATGACCATGGTATACACGGCAGTTTTCAACATTATCGGAGCTTTCGCCATTTCCTTGGCCTTTAGCTGGAAACTGGCCCTAGTCGCCATTTTCGTCACCATGCCGATAGGTCTGGCTGCGGGCTACTTCAGGGTCAAATACGAGATCGAGTTCGAAAAGATGTACGCGGCTGTTTTCGCCGAGTCCAGTAAATGGGCCTCGGAAAGCATCGGTGCCTTCCGGACAGTGACGGCCCTAACGCTCGAGGACCCCATCTGCACGCGCTATTCCGACCTGCTTCGCAACCACGTCGACGGAGCCAACAAGAAGGCGAGATACACAACGCTTATCTTTGCCCTGAGCGACTCGATCAGCCTCGCATGCCAGGCGCTCATTTTCTGGTACGGCGGGCGCCTGATGCTCTCGGGCGAGATCACCATAACGCAGTTCTTCGTTTGCTACATGGCTGTCATCCAGGGCGCCGAGTCGGCTGGCAACGGGCTCAGCTTTGGTCCCAACGCGGCCCAGGCCACGTCGGCCGCCAACCGCATCCTCGGAACCCGAGAGTCGGCCCAGAAGGATCTGAGCGCCGTCGAGGGCCAAAAGTCGGTGCCCGACGCGGATCAGGGAATCGGCATCGAGTTTGAGGACGTGCACTTCAAGTACCCGACCCGCAACGTCTCCATCTTCAAGGGCCTCAACCTCAGCATCCCCAAGGGCCAGTTCGCCGCCCTCGTCGGCGCGTCCGGGTCGGGCAAGACGAGTATCGTGTCGCTGCTCGAGCGCTTCTACGAGCCGCATCGCGGCCGCATCCTCTTCAACGGCGTGGCCGCGTCCGACGTCAACGTGTTCGAGTACCGTCGCCACATGTCGCTCGTGGCGCAGGAGCCGACTCTGTTCCAGGGCTCGATCCGCGACAACGTCCTGATCGGCATCGAGGACCCGACCGCCGTGTCGGACGAGCAGCTCCACGCGGCCTGTCGCGACGCCTCCATCCACGACTTCATCGTCTCCCTGCCCGAGGGCTACAACACCGACATTGGCAGCCGCGGCGTCTCGCTGTCGGGCGGCCAGAAGCAGCGGCTCGCCATCGCGCGCGCTCTCGTGCGCGACCCGCAGGTCCTGCTGCTCGACGAGGCCACCTCGTCGCTCGACTCGGAAACGGAGAAGCTGATCCAGGCCACCTTTGAGCGCGTCGCCAAGGGCCGCACCACGGTTGCCGTCGCCCACCGTCTGAGCACTATCCAAAAGGCCGATGTCATCTACGTCCTGGGCGAGGGCAAGGTGCTCGAGAGCGGCAGCCACACCGAGCTGCTCAAGAAGCGGGGGGTGTATTGGCACATGGTTCGTACCCCCCAGCCCCTCATCTTTTGCCCCCTTTGGCCTCTATACCGTACGTGCATCACATTGCTAACCTTGAATTTTTCTGGAAACTCTAGTGTCAAAGCCAAGCCCTCGACAGGTAAAGCTCGTTCTAGCTTATCTGAAGAGCGGGGCAGTGCCATGTCATCTCTTTCAAGCGAAGACTTTTCCCTTCCATATTTTGTATCTATTCTCTTTTAATCTCTCCACTCTCCTGTCGAGTACCCGGTCTCCCCTTCGATCCTCGCAGCTTGATCAGAAAAAAGAAAAAAAAATCCAACGCGCCCTCACGCGCCACTCACGCCCGCACCTAGCGAGATGCATGACGCACTTCAACACGTGTGTTGGGGAGGAAACACAAACTTCTTTTTGGCTTCGTTGTGCAGAACAGGCAGGCGGCCAATAGAACGCCCGCCCGCCCCTCTCATGACCCCATTTCTGGGTAGCAGTGTATCTAGGTGGTAGTGCCGGAGTTTTCTTTTAATGCATTCTGTGCCCGACTATGCACGCGGAGCCGACAGGCCACAACCATGCAAGGCCGTGTAAGGAATGATATATACTGATTCGGTTTTATGTTCAACACGCTGCACTATGAACAAGGCAAACTTGTCGTCACCTGAGTCTATGACTGTAGAGTCATGTCTAGGTAGATCTAGCAAGCCTCGGGAGGCGCAACATGGAACGAAGGAGCCTGAAAACAAATGCTAGATTTGATATGATGCAATCTAGTAGCCGCCAGTGATACTGTGCTCAAAATACACATTGGATATTTCGTCATGGATACTGAGACATTAACCAGACCCCCAGCCGAGAGGAGAAAAAGCACAAAGCAAGCAACACCCCGATGCGCTCCTAGAGTACGCCGTGAGATAGACACAAAATGAGATGCATGACGATGCTATCAAAGGAGCCCTTCCCGGCACTTTACAGGTCGAGGTGCCTTGCAGTGGAGCAACGAGGGGGTGGCACCAGAAATCAGGGTCGTGAGGAAACGCGCATGAGATGGAGAGTGAGAGAGAGTAGCGGTCAGGCCGCGACGGGTGGAGTCAAAGAGACAAAGGATGGGTATATAAATGTATGCACTTGATATGTAGGGATGCAAATGGCAAGGTACAGGAAGAGGCATGACAGCATTGACCCAGCGACGGGCCACACACGCCATGAAGCAAGGCGGATCAATAGCCGAAGCTGTCATGCTGATGCACGGGGCAACGGCCCGGGTGGTTGACAAACCAGGCCGAGATGCAGGCATGGTGGAAGCGGCAGAGGCACTCGAGACGGGCCATGGGGGCCCCAACCTCGAACTCCTCCAGGCAGATGGTACACTCAGCCGAGTCGACACAGTCCTTCTCCGTCGCCAGATACGGGAACATGCCGGTGCGGCGGGGCGGGATTGGGGGAAGGCGCGGCTGCGTCTGAGCGCCCGACGACGACGAAGATCCCTCCCCGCTGCCACCGTTCTCTGCCGATGACGAGGCGGCGGGGCGGGCCGGGGAAGCGCCGTATGTGCTGTGGGTAACGATGCAGGCGGCGATGTGCGACTCGCGCAGCGCCTCCACGTTGGGTAGCGTCCGCCGCGGCAGCTCGCGGTGACACACGGGGCACTCGTCCTCCTCCGGGATCTGGTACTGCGGTTGGGAAGGAGGAGGCGGGAGGCTCCGGCGGTGGCGGTAGTGAGCCGTCGTCGAGGGGCCGCCTGACTGTCGTGGATCCATGGTCGGCTGGTAGCGATGCTGAGAAGGGAGATATGAAGGTGGCGTGCCTGTCATTATGCTCCTCTGTGTGGACGGATAAGCGCTGCTGGATCCTCTCGATCCCGGGGAAACGCCACCGCCTTCGGGTTGCTGCTGGTGTCAAACGCAAGCAGGACGTGGGGTCAGTCACAAACAAAAGAAACGAGGAGAATAGAGTCAAGAACACGGGCCAACACACCATTGTTATGCTCCTACTTCTCGCGTAGGCGTTTCCTATGGCGCCGAGAGAGACGTAGAAGTCTGGGTGGCGACCTGAGACGCCGTCGGGTGAGGTCGGGGCGGTCCCGGCGTTGCTCTGAGACCTGTTGTGAGGCGAGCGCCGAGCGCCGGGCGAGAGCTGTGCCTGGGGCGGAGAGGTATTCGGGTCGGGGACGCAGGGGTTGCACAGGCGCACCCGGTCACCGCCCGCCAGAGCACTCGAATCGGGGTAGCCCAGTTCGCCACCTAGAATGGGGTGCGCATATCGTGGCCCGCGTGTCTGCCCTGGCGGCTGCACGATAAACTGGAAGGGAATAGTGATTCGGTGGGGCGAGCACGAGTTACAGACCACCCTCCCACACTTTCTGTGACAAGTTGTGCTCGTAAGTCAACCAAACTGGCTCAACCAAGCTGGCTCGTGGATCCGGGGCGCGTGACATGAACGTACCGGCAGTGGTGCTTCCTAACAAAAATGCTGAACTGAGTATGACATATCGGGCACAGTGTCACCTCAGCGTCAGGCTGCCACCTGGGTAACACAATTGCAGGCGCAGGCTGCCGCCTCCCGGTACTCTCCCCTGTTCGGCTAAGTCTGGGAACTAAAGTTGGCGGCGCGCCCAACCGGGCCGTGGGACCTTCGGTCAGGGGCGACGGGGGCGGAAGCGACGGGAGAGGAGGTTCTTCTGTGTCGCGAGGTGGGCGAGCAGGCAGAGGTCTCGAGCCAGGAATTAGAGCGGATGTCGAGCGGCCGCTCCCGGAGGGGTTTAGGAGGGAGAGGGGAGCAGTGGCAGCCTGGATTTGCAGCGCTTCAACAAGAGCCGAGCGTAGAGGGTTATCTCGATTACCCCCAACTTCCCCCAGACTCGAGGTGGCGCTAGGTGCTGGTGGAGTCGGCACAGGAACGGGAGTTGCTGGAGCATCTTGCTCTGTTGACCTGTCGTCCATTGCGACTGGCCGCTCTCCCACGAGCTCGCTGTTGATGCCGCCAGAAACCACGCGGTCAATATCTCGGGATGGAGGTGGGCTGCTGGGTTGGTCGGCTCCAGCCGGGGCTGGCGTCGGAGCGGGACCACCGTGCTCCTGCGGATCTCCGTGGCCGTGATCAGAGACGGCACGCTCGACCATGTGCGAGGGGCAGTCAAAGTAGCGGGAGCACTCCTGGTCGAAGTACCTCTCGCTGCGCCAGCGGCAGGCCGATGGCTCAGGCTCGGAGGCGTCGCTGCCTATGTAGGAGCTTCCCGAGACGGAAACGGTTCCGTCATCGGCAGCCTCGTGGCCGTCGCTGTGGTGTGGAGGCCGGCTTCCCTCAGCAGCAGAAGCAGACATTGTGAGGCATGGGTGGATTTGTGCGCTCGACTTTGAGTGAAGACGATCAGCTTCTTCTCAAGTGGGTGCTGGTGCGCAAGGCTCCCGCCCGAAATAAAGACAAGAGAGTGAGGGGCGTATGGGGGGCCGGGAAGGCTCGCTGAGCGGGCGTCGTCTATGCGTCACTTGCGGTCGTTTATCGTTCTGAGTCGCCTTCTGTGGCTGGAGGCTTTTTTTCTTCGCGTCCGGGATTAGCCTCGGGAGGCGACTCAGTTGGCGGCGGATGGGATCGCTGGCAGGACAGGCAAAGGCTGCTGGTGTCGGAGCGACGAGAGGGAGGTGAAGGCGGCGGTGCGGAGCTGCTGATTCGATCAGAACAATCCAGGGGTTAGTCTGGAGATGCCTAATACCTAATATCCAGGCGTGCGACAGTCGGTCTCACTCACAACACGTGTAGATATGGCAAAGGAACGGCCTATGCGTGTGCTTGAGTTAGGACGGTGCAAATAGTTTAGACTTTTCCATGGCTGCTGCTGCTGCTGTCGCTGCTGCTGCTGCTGTCGCGGCCGTCCTTGATTGCAGGACGAACAACTGAGGGGCAAAAACATTATGCGGCCGAGCACGCGAGGTGAGCACAGGCGGCTGTCCCTTTTCCTAGTAGCCCAAGTCAACACACGGTGTGGATCAGGTCCCTTTTTCGGAGCGCTGCCCCACCAACGCACCCTCCGACAGCCAGTCAGGGGCGCCGGCACTGCCGATTAGTGGGCCTTATCTTTCTTATCTTAGCAACAAGCCTCCCTCGTCCCTCGGTGGGGTGCTGGGCGGCCCAGCGGACAGCAGGTCCAACTGGCGCGTTTTGCTGGCCCTGTGATCTTTTCTGCGTCACGTCACCGTTCGCGACGCCTTTGCGAGCTTCCATGACAAGTGGCTCACGTGGTCAATCGCCCAATTAGCTGGCTTGCCAAAGACCCCAGCGCCCCAGCACCCAAGCCAAGATATGTGCCTGTTGCCGTGTTGCTGTGCCTCTTCCCGGCAGCGGGCTGCGTGTGCCGTCTGCGGTTCTCGATATCTAGGGAATAGATACCCGTCTACCCCGCCTGGGGAACAACCCATGAGGGCGGGGCATGCGGATTTGGTGGGGTTCCCTCTCGCCCATTGCTGGTGTGATTTTATCTACATAATCAACGGAGCTTACCAGCCAGAGACGTTGGAGCATTCCAGTAGATAGGGATTCTAATAGGCATTATTAGTGGGTGCTTAAAGGTACCCGTCGAAAATGCCAAGTTTCGTCTGGTCATCCATCAAGTCCCGCCCGTCGTCGCCATAGTGCCGAACCTCGGATGTAATGCGGGGGAGCATGGCTGACAACTGTCGGTCGCGGTACCTGCCTGTCAAGACAATTTTATAAGCCCAGGAGGTCTAGACGTGCCAAGTGCCTCGACCTTTGGCCCAGAAATCTCACCTTGGTCTGCAGCTGCGTCAGGACGATCAACGAACTGAAACTGAGCAGATTTCGCGAAAAGCAGACCATCCGCGGGTGCCACCGGGCTCACACCCCCCCACAAATCTCCATGTCTGCCCCAGCGCTGACGGAAACGACCCGCCAGGTCGCCCTGGTGACGGCCGGGAGCGCCGGTCTCGGGGCGGCGGCGGCCCGGCTCTTTGCGGCCAACGGCATGCGCGTCGTCGTCAACTATTGTCACAACAAGGAGCGGGCTGAGGCTCTGCTGGCCGAGCTGCTCGAATTATCGCGTCGGACCTGGAACCGGCAGCCAGGAGACACGGGCGACAACGGCAGCCAGCAGCCGCCCGACTTCCTGCTCCTGCGCGCCGACCTGGCCAGCCGGGATCAGGTGCGCGCTCTCGTCGATGACACCGTCTCGGCTATGGGCAGGCTGGATGCCATATTCTCCAACCAGGGCTGGACTCAGATTCGGGACTGGACCTCGCTCGACGACAGCGCCGTCGAGGACGACTGGGACCGTTGCTTCAACATGAATGTCAAGAGCCACCTCTGGCTGCTGCAGGCGGCCAAGAAGCACCTGGAGGAGACCGAGGGCTGCATGGTTGTCACCTCGTCTCTGGCCGGAATCAGGCCTGGAGGGAGCTCCTTGGTATGCATGCCTTTACCATTTCCTTGCTTGCTTTCTGCTGTTTATACTCCCTTTTCTATTCCCCAGAGGAGTTTAGGCTTTCTTTGGACAAGGTACCTCTAACACCTAGCCTTTCCTCATTGCAGGCCTATTCGGTAACTAAAGCCGCACTGAACCATTTGGTCAAAGGCCTCGCCGTTATCGCCGCCCCAAAGATTAGAGTGAACGCCGTGTGTCCGGGGCTCATGCTCACAGTGAGTGATGTCTACCCAGTGTGCAGAATCTGCGCGTGCTCGTCGATTCCTCTCTACTGACGTCTTTCAAGGAATGGGGCATGAAGTTTCCACAAGAAATCCAAGACAAGAACATAGCTCAGACGAAGCTGAAGCGAGTTGTGACCCCAGAGGTGCGTCTTTTTCTTTCTTTTCCTCCTCAATGCCAGTGTGTGCCGCACACTCGTCCTGACAACACATCTCCACTTCTAGGAAACGGCAGAGCAAGTGCTCTGTTTCGTCAAGAGCAAGGGAGTGACGGGCGTGAATGCTATCATCGATGCTGGGTGGTCGCTCTGATGGTAATGGCGTGGTGGGATCCCGAGTCAATGGCGGCAATGGGGACGCGTGGCCATCAATATTACAAGCAGCTCAGCACGCCCAGGCCAGTGATGATACTGTTCGGGGGGTTAGGCTACTGTGGCAGGGATGGACCACTTGCAATGCTACATTGCTTGTTCTTATCCTTATTACAAATTGCCACGTTCCTCCCCCGTCATTAAAAGTGACGCTAAGGCGCAGAGGCAGTTAGACGGGCCAGACCCTCTTCTCTCCCCATTTTAGCATCTCAGGGGGAGTCAACGAAAGTGTCATCGACTCAGGGGGTGGGCTGCGATATCGCATTTTCCCCTCAAGATCCGCAGCCAAGGGACCAAGCTGGGTAGGCAGGGTAGCAGTTGACAGGGAGTCTCGAGAAGGGAAAGGCCAGCCGATAGGTGCCTTCTTGTCTTCCCGGTGGGTGTCGGGGCGTCGATGTGTCGGGGTGTAGGCGGGGCGCGCGATGCTGCATGTGCCCGGCGTCACAGGCGATGGGGGTTGAGACGGGAAGGCGCAACCTTGTTGGCGGCGACAGGGCCAGACCGGGGTTGCGCACCGGCCTCGACCTGTAGCGGTCCCAAAGAAGCTGCGACCAAAGCTCCTCCTTCCCTCCAAAGAAACCTCTCCAAGACCATACCTTCTACGAGAATCAATCAGGGACCTATCAGCGCCTATCAGCGGAAGGCGCGACATGAACCAGCAGGAAACGCCGCAGGCCTTCTCCACAGCGGGGCGTCTGCTATTCCAGCATTGAAGTCTGTCGACACAGAATCAGGGTTGTCCTGGTCTGATGCTCTCTCATTGACGGCAGTTAGCGGCACAGCTCAGCCTCGACGTTAACGGGTCCACCGTTCCCTAGGGGCGGGCAATGTTTCCTATTTGTGATAGTGTCCGATTGCTATGGCCCGCCTGCCAGCCTGTCCCCTGCCAGGCGCCGGTTTGTGAAGCATCCCAAGAGAGCGGCGGCAGGCCTGCGAAAAGGCCGCAGAGCGACTACATCTAGGCTGGTGTTTGGCCTGGCGCTGCGTCGTTTGAGCCTCTATCCACAGTCTTTGGATCGAGGGGATAAAAAGTAGGAAGGCAAGGAGAAGAGAAGGGAGTAAAAGCAGACGTGAGGACTTTTGGCTTTTACCCTAAGACAAGACAACCAACATCAGACCCAACGAGATCTCACGTCAAAACGCCGCCCACCTCCCGTGTATCCATGCTGGATGCCGGCCCATCCAACAGACGAGCCCCATTTGCTTGACGCCTCTCCCGACGCTCGGAAGTGATCACTTCCGTGGCCATCATGGCCGGCAACGCCCCTGTCTTCTCGCAGAGTTTCCTGCCTCTGCCAGAGCATGTGCAGCCATCTACTCCTGCCGGCGCCTTCCACGACACTATCGCTGCCACCTATCACCAGCAGCAACACCAGCAGCAGCAACACCAGCAGCAGCAACAACAGCAACAGCACGACCTACTGTCCACCTTGTCCTTCAATCTTGCTGTCAACCATGCTCAGCAAACCTCGGTATCGTCTACCGGCTCGACATCACCTCCGCCCGTCCACCTCAGCCCCCATGCCCCGGGCGCCGTCAACGCAGCCGCTGGGTGGGACCTGGCCTCAGCTCACCCAAGCCCGGCTGCTGCCCCGGCCAACTCAAATAGCCATGATCTAACCGCCAGCCTCTACCAGTGCGCAGACTGCCTGAGGAGGTATGCCCGCCCCGAGCATCTACAGCGGCATATTGCCACCCACACCCTAGGAAAGAGGTTCGCGTGCGACGTGGTAGGTCATATCATCTCTCTGGACTCCCGACTCGCACGGCTTCTGACGGAGTATCGCCGGAAGAAAAGTGCGGCAAGGCGTTCGGGAGGGCAGATCTCTTGAAGAGACACAGGGCCAACCACGAAGAAGATCCTACCGGCATGAAGAAACGCCGTCTCGCCTCCGCCCCGGGTGCTGCCCGCGTGGCCCAGGCTTGCGCCGGTTGTGCCCGGGCCAGAGTCAAGTGCGAAGAGGTGAAGCCGTGCGCCCGATGCAGGACCCGTGGCATCCCGTGCAAGTACAGCTCCTCCGCCGGCGTTTCTCCCTATCACTCCATCCACCGACGGACTACGTCGCCCGACGGCTCTGGCAGGGGTACTTCCCGGCAAGCTAGACCTAACAAATCTCCATCGCCTGGATTCACCCAAGAGCAGCCGCAGAAGTCGCAACTATACCAGATGCCCACATCAGCCACAAGCCCTCCCATAGGCAGTGTAGATGTGGTTCCGGGAAGTTACCCCGATTTCTCTGGCGGCAGTGCTGCCTTTGGCTTCAGCACCGCTCAGCCAAGCTTAGTTATGCAGTCTGAAGGAACGCTTGCTGCCGTAACACCCAGAAATTTCACCCCCGATGTCAACGTGCCCTTCTCGGACTTCATGCGGGGCATTCTCTATCAACATGGCACGGACACACCTTCCGATACCACGTCATTACATGGTCTAGCCGTCCTCGATTTTTGCAATACTTCGAATCTTGAACTCGACGACATTGATTTTAGCTTCCTTGGAAACTGGGGTATTGCTAGGGACGGCGCCTCGCTACAGCAGGCACCACAGCTACACCAGCACCAACAGGAGCAGCAGGTAGAGACCCAGCACCAGCAGTACCAGCACGAGTATCAGCAACAATGCGATGAGGATTCTTGCACTAGTGATGGGGACTCGCCCGGCATATCTAGCTTGAGGCATAGGCTTGTCAAGCTGTGGGACGATGATCGCCTGAGGTGGGCCCCTAACCCCCAAAATACAGGTTACGACGACCAGGAGAACCTTCCGGTGCCCTCGGCCACCGCCGCCATGGCCGAAGCGGCAAGCTTCGCATACGACGCACTAGGGGCGGTGTCATCGCGGTCAGTGCCCCGTCGACGACTGGACGGGCCAAGCCGTGACCGGATCCTAGCAATCGTGTTAGCCACCCGCCGCAAAAACACCACAATGGTACGGGTGGCTGCGGCCTTCCCCGCGGCCGGCCTCTTGGACTCGCTGTGACTGAGCCCTCGAGTTATATCCACATACCATCCTTCAGCGTTGGCGATAGCCCCCCAGACCTCCTCGCCTGCTGCGCCGCGGCCGGTGCCACCATGACTTCCAACTTGACACTTCGCAAGTTTGGCTTCGCCGTCCAAGAAGCAGTCGGTAAGTTTTCATTCTCATACATCTCCGAGCCATAGATCGACACATCTTGCTCCTCAAACTATTATTGACCATTGCGACTGCGCTGTCAACAGGGATTGTGATACCGAAAAACTTTGAGGATAACAACCAGCGCGCATCAGACAGAGCGCTCGTCCAGGCGGTGGTTCTCGGGCAGGACATTGGTCTTTGGAGCGGAAACAAACGCAAGATAGAAATCGCCGAGTGCCGTGAGTGCCCGAGCCCGACCTAAACGAAACTACTTAAATACCCGGGGGTGTTTGAGCGTGAACAGCCGTGCTGACAGCAAATCAGATACCGATATCCCCATCACAATGATGAGGTACAGGAACCGATTCAAAATGGCTTCATATCCAGTCATCCATGTGGCTGCCAGCGACTCTGGCGCCGAACTGGAGGCTAAATGGACGCAACGGCGGGATCAGGAATCGTGGAAGAGATACGTACGGCTGATAGCCTCAAAACCATAACTTTGATCTAAGACCCGACAGACTGACCATATTGGCTTACGCTCTCGCAGGCTAGTATTTCACTGTTTCATGCGAGACGCCCAGATTTCTTTCACTTCGCTCAGGGGGTCGCACATGTCATATGCCGAATTGACACTACCACTACCCGCGCCGTCCCAGGTCTGGGCCGCCAGAGACGCCAGCAAGTGGCAAGCCCAATACCTCGCCACCATGGCCGCTGGCGGAGGCGATCATGGCAGTACCAACGAACGCGACCCTTGCCCCGGCGACCTTATCCGCGACCCAGAACTCCTGGCCAGGAACTACCACCGCATAGATATCCGGCTCGCCATCTCGATATATCTCCATGGCTTCTGGTCCATGATATGGGAGCTTCGCCAAATGGCCGCCGCGTACGGCCACAGCATTTTTTCCTCGCCGGCGGCAGGCGGCGGCCCCGACGGCGGCAGCAAGCCCGGCGCCTCCTCCAGCGCTGTCCTGCTCCTGAATTCGCGGCACCAGGGCCTCTGCAGCACGCTCGACTCCTTCGCCGTCGACACGATGGGCTGGTCCGAGCTCACCGAGGCCGAGTCCCTCACGCTGCAACTGCTCCAGCTGCACCTCCACGTCTCGCTCGACGACCTCCAGGTCTTTGCGGGCCGCCAGGCGCGCCTACCCGGCCCTCGAGCTCTGGGCCGCCTCGGCTCAGTCGCGCAGGGCCCTGTGGCACGCGGGCCAGATCCTGCGCCTGGCCCGCGCCTTCCCGCGCGGCCGCCTCAAGGACTCGTCCGCCATCGCCGTCCACCACGCCGCCCTGGCCCTGTGGACGTACGGCGTCGTGACCAGGGCGGCGGCCGTCGCGTCTGCCGCCCCAACCCCTTCCCCGCGCACCCAGCGCTCCTCCACCTCGGACCGCGACCGCGACTGCGGCGGCGGCGGCGGCGGCGGCGACGGCCTCGTGTTCCTCGACGGGCCGCACTCGCCCCAGGTCGCCGACTTCGTCGCCTTCGGCCAGGGCCGCGCAGCGATCCACGCCTCGCGGGACCTTCGTCAGTCGTCGGCCGGACACGACAGTGGCGGCGACTAGGGTGTGGCCTGTGACGACGGCAGCAGTGCTGCCGAAGGCGTGGCGCCCCTTTCTAAGTCGCGCGCCTGCATGCAAGTGGCCCAGGAGGTGCTGCGGGCAAACTTTACCGGCGAGGACGGGAGCGGCGACGGGAGCGTGCTGCCCACCATCGAGAATCTCTGCTGCCTCCTCGCAAGGCTGGGGAGCGCCGCCGACGAGATCAGGAAGCGTTAGCTACAATCTAGAGCCCCACGGGCACGCTTCGAAACAGCAGTTTCCGAGTGCCACTAGCGTGACGTAGAATGCAGATTATCGTGAATTCATAACTATGCTGATCTAGACGTAATATCCAGATATCCATTGACGTGAGCAGCAGTAACCAAGCTTTTACAGAGTTGTCGGTATCTTCTAGGTGGGGTTGTGCAGGGCAGTGCCTGTGTCGGATGGAGTGGTTTTTAGGGGTCGGGTTGACGAAAACAAAAGCAGAGAAAGGTAGACGGGTTATCCCACTTTTTATCCCCCTTTCGATGGCGAGGTAGAATATCAGGGACCAAGGAAGTCAAGGCAACAAAATCAGAAGAAAAGGAGACAAAAAAAACAGGCCGATCAGACGCGATTTACTCGAATCCAATCTGAGCTTTCCATCAACACCTCGCCACGAAGAAAAAAAAGGAACGCGAAACAGGAAACAGGAGCAAGAAACTGCACACGGCGGTGGTCGCAAGTGAGATATCTCACGAAAGGGTGGAATATGTTTGAGGAAGCGGTAGAGGCAAGGAATTTACTGGCGAGTTGTCGTCTGGTTGCGCGCCCAGGGGCAAGCAATGGTGGTTTCCAGAGCGATAAGAACGCAAAAAGAAATGAGGCGGTGTTGGCGCGGCGTCCAAGAAAAGGATTAAAAAAAAAATGAAGACTAAACCGCCCGCGCATGGCTTCACGGCGTCCCCTCCCTGGAGTTCCTGGTATCGCTCTTCTTGCCGAGAAAACTTCGGCGGAGCGATGAGATTGCGCCACCATCCGACGAAGCCGGCAAGCTACTGGGATCGGCCGTCTTGGGCCGTTCCGCCGCCGAAGCAGCCGCAGGGGTAAAGGAGCTGCGCAGCGTCACCGTCCCGCTGCCCACCTTGAGCTCCTTGTCGGCCCCAGACCCGCTCTCGTCCACAAAGTAGAGCGTCTCGCCCAAGTCGTCATCGCTGCTGAAGGTGTGGTTCTCTTTGACCTGGATCTGGAATTGCGTGTCGGGCGTGCACGTAACTTTGAACGTCTCGTCATAATGCACCGAGCCAGACGAAGGCTTGCGGTGCTTGGTCTTTCCGACCGTCTTGTTCTTGGGCGTCAGCTGGTTCAAGACCACGTACGTGTCTGCCGAGGGCGGGAATCCTGCCGCTGAGACGATGGTGAACGTCGCCAGTCCCGATCCCGGCGCGCCCGGCGCGATGCTGTAGACCGACGTGGCGCCTGTGCTCATAGTCCTATTGTGGTGCCCGCCGTTCGCTTTCCCGTTGGAGTTGCCGTTCACCGCCGGTCCTGGCGGTGGCCCAGACGGGTCCATATCCAGCGTCAGTCCCGTAGACCTCTTCAGGCCCATGCCGCCGAACGGGGTCGACGGCCCGCCACCATTCATAGTGATGGCTGGCACCTCGGCCACAGAGTTCATGGTTGGAGTACCGCTGCTGTCACTATCATCTTTCTTGCTTCGGAACCGGCCCTTGATGAAGGACGCGCCCTTGCCAACGCCATGGCCAACCACGCCAGCCACAGCGGCGCCTCCCTTGAGAGGCACGCCAGCCACGCCAGTAACGATACGGCCAGGCGCTGCAAATGTGCCCGAGAATGTCGAGGTGCCCAGCCTGGTCCTTGTGACGTAGTCAGGTCTGAAAAGAAGCCTAAGCCTCAGCGTTCCCGACTTGCCGTCCAGGGCCAGATTCAACTCCTGGGCCTCAAACGGATCAAGCTGCTCCAGGTTTATCATGGCCGAGCCGAGCCAATCAGGCTTGTCAGCAAAGTCCCAATCCCAAACAGTGGCCTTGAACTGGGCTGCCGTGCGCGACGGCACCGGCACCTCGAAAAACTCGTTCCAGGACGGATTAAGCGTCTTCTTCTGAGTCTTGGTCTTGAACACGTCCTGGCCGTTGAGCTCGAACTTGCAGTACGGATCGCTCTTGCCGTTGGAGTCGGCTGAGGGCAGGTTCGCAGCATCGAGAACGTCCACACGCAGCGTGCCCATGTTGTTGATACTCTCGCTTGGGTCGAGTCGCATCTTGACTGGCACGTACTTGAGGCTGACCTTGACCGAGCTGACTCTGCCATCGTCGTCCCTCATCTTGAGCGTTGTTGGGTTGTTCTAGATGCAATATTTATCAGCAACACGCCAATATGATGTGGTTTCTCGCCCCAATGGAGCTTGAGTGCAACTAACCAGACACTGCTTCAGGGTATCGAGGGTGTTGCCCTTAAGACGACCGACGAAGTCCTCCTTGTGCCTGTCGCCCTTGCCCTGATCACTACCCTTCTGCTGGACTTTGATGGTGAGCCTGGAGAAGTCGAGCTCGCGAATGAAGCAGTCGCCCATCTCGTCGAACTTGTGCTGCTTGCTCCTGGTCACGGACGAGACGTATGAAGGATACGCCATGTCGTCAACGTACACAGTGACGCTGCACTCGCTCTTGGGGAAATCAGCCTCGATCAGCTTGAATATTATCAAGCCCGACTCGTATTTCAGAAGCTCCTGGGGCGTGAGTCTGATCTTGGGTGGGCCGCGCTCCTCACGCGACCTTCTCGGCATCCCCGGGGTGATGGGCGTCCTGGGCGTCGTTGGCTCGAGAGCAGTCTCGGACTTTTGGTCATCGTGCCTTTCGAGGGAAGCCGAGAACTTGCCACCTTCGGCTGGCCTCGGCACATCCAGCGACTCTCTCACAGATTTCTGCTCATCATTCCCCTCGTCCTCATCGTCGGGATCGGCGACGTTCAGAGTAGGGTAGAAGGAGATGGTATGGTGCAGCACACCTTTGCCAATACCTTTGCCGTGGAGTTTGAGGCTCCCCTGGTGGAGTTCCCTCTTTTCGTGCACGAGATACTCGCCCGTCTCCTCGTCCTGTTTGATGAACTCTCCCGCATAGACCTCGGTCAGACCAAGGGTGCGGTCCTTGCCCATCTTCTCGGCGTCCATAACTTCGAATTGGATCTTCTCACGAGGCGAGTGCACAGGGACGTAGAGAACCTCGTCCCACTCGGGGTTGAGATCGTTCTTGAAGGTGACAGTGCGCGCACGCTCAATACCCGACACAATAACGCGCGTGTACGGATCGGACTTGCCCACGGTTTCGAAATTGCGCAGGTCGGTGGCCTTGAGGAAGTGGAAGCGCAAGACGCCAATGGGGACTTGGTAGCCACCAGTGCTCATAACGCCAGAGATGGAAACGGGCTTCCACTTGGCCTGCATCTTGACACGGCCTGTCTTTGCCCCTGCAAGAAGATACCAATCCTTGCCCTTCTCCATGAGCCCAAGCATGTCTTCCAGCTTGATCTGGTAGTTGCCAATGACCTGGTCTCCGGCGAGGTCGCGGTCGTCCTTGATAACGACGCCCAGCTTGGCCTGTTTGCGATCTGTGATGAGGATCTCCTTGGAGCCGTTGCCCCAGATGGGGTTGTTGGTGCGTTTGAGCGTCTTGGTCGTGTGCACCTCCTTGCCATTCAGAAGGAGAACCGCGTAGGGGTTCAGCAGGCCGACCAAACTCTTGGTGCCATCGAGATCCTTGGCCTGCTCGACAGTAAACCTCAGGATACCCGTGTTGGTCTCCGGCGGCGGCTCTTCCTTGCCCTCCGAGGTCTTGGTTGGCTCCAGGACGGGGAAAAAGCGGAGGTCGCACGACAGCACGCCGCGAGCTTTTCCATCCGAGATGACCTCGAGCCGCTCGTTTTCGTGCTCGTTGATCTCCTCAAGGTTCTCCAGCAAAAACGAGGCCACGCCGAGTTCCTTGTCCTTTCGGAAGTCATTGTAGTCGAATAGCTGGATGTCGAGAGAATCGTTGAACGAGGTGATGATGACGTAGTGGGTCTCGTTCCAGCGTGGGTTAGGAGTGTCCTTGATGACCTTCGTCTGGGCCAGGGGCTGCCTCCGGTTGATGGTCACGACGGCGTAGGGGTCCGTGTTGCCCGAGAAGTTGTCCGGGTTCTTCAGGCCATGCGCGCCGTGGAGCGTGATAGCAACGACGCCGATGGCCTGGTCAACGGGCGAACCGGCCAGCATCTTGGCGACCTCGATGGGGAAGACGTTTGGAGCGTACATCATGGGGGCCAGATTACCATGCACCTGCTCGAGAATAAACTTTTCGAGGCCAGGGATGAAGTTGACGTCGAAGCCGAACGTGTCGCCACCGAGAGGCTTGCAGACGTAGTCGATAGTAGGCCGCTCGAGGAAGCACATTTCGATCTTCTCCACGTGTGGGAACGGGATCTGTAGCTTGATCTTGAGTCTCATGATGCCAGAAAAGGACATGTCTTCCACGATGACGTCAAGGCCCTTGCTGATCATGGCCTTTCCAACACGAATCTCAAGCACAACCTTGGGGTTGAGCTTGTTCTTGATTTGGTGAGCGGTCAAGTCGGCAACGTCGTTGGGCGTGAAGCTGAATCTCCAATCCATGATGACAAGGTCATCCTCGGCTTTGGGGTAAGTCTTGACGTGCTCCATGCGCGGGGGCTTGGACCCAAGTGTGAAGGTCTTGAGCTTCAGGCTGTCGAGGAAGGCGGGGGTCGCACCGCTCAGCACTTGGTCCACGGCGTTTATGACGGTTGCGGCGAGCACAGGCTGGTAGATGGGCCAAAACTTGACTAGGAACGAATTGATCCACTCCAACGACTCGGTCTCGGTGTCGAGGCGCTTGAGAGACATCTCGCGCGTGATGTCGTCGCGGAAGTTGCGCCTCACGCGCCGGATCGAGGTCCGGTAGTAGGTCGAGCAAACGGCCATCAGGATGAAGACCCATCCCAGACCGCCGCCAAGCACGGCAATCAGCCAGGAGAAGATGCAAGCAAAGATGATAATGCCGGAGTTGTGGTACCAGTCTAAGAGGCGGTTCGAGTCAAAAATCTATCAGCCAGGCGCGAATGGAGTTTTGTGTCATCTTGTAAAGACCTACCTCCGTACAACTTGTCGGGAAGCTGGCCCTCAAGCCAGGTTGAGTGGTCAAGTAGGCTTTCGGCCTCCTGGATCGACTCCATAGGCCAGCCAATTCTGGGAGCCCAGCCCGTCTTGGGGCCCATGACTTCTTCGGGCTCGCCATCACCATCGCCAGGCGCATGCCCGTTCTCGATCGAGTGGCCGTCCTTGTCCTTGGGGGAGTCCAAGACCCCAGCTCGGGAGGGCGAGGGGAGGTCGTACACGGGCTTGCTACCGTCATCTATGTCCGTGGCGATCGCGACGCCTTTGTTTCGAGTGGGGAGACCTTCAGGTAGGGTCTGGCGAGCGCAGTGATAGTTAGCAGGAAGGCCAGGCCACAGCCTAAGATGAGATGGTGATGCGTCATATCAAGGAAGCATCGTACAGTTGCAGCCTTCACCTTGGCCCGCTTCTCGGCGAGGGTGGCATTGGGATCGAAAGAGAAAGCCGCGACGCCCACTTTCTTGCTCTCCTCCACAATTTTCTTCTGGGCGTCATCGGCAGATACCGACGACTGGGGATTCTGGGCTGCCTCGATCGCGCCCTGTTGTTTCAGCTCGTTCGCTTCCTGCGCGGTGGCCATCTTTCGGCAGAGGCGGCAGTGCCGCTGGGGAGTCTCGTATCACGCGCTTTCTCCCCCTTCGGCCACCAAGCCCCTTTCAGGTCGAGCCGACGACAATAGATGCCTCAATTGAATCGCATGCGCAGGTTCAAGGGAAAGCGCGAGAAGCTGCCGAGATGGCTAAGCTGGAACCGACCATTCGGGAATTGAGACGGCGCAGTAGAAAAGAGGAGCGAGCACAGGAGAGGGCAGGCGACGTAAGCTGAAAGCTCGCGGCTCCGATGATGTGGCTGCCAAATTCGGAGAAGTGGGAAGTATGGCAACAATGAAGATCGGAAGCAGAGGATTGCGAGAGGAAAGAAGAAGGAAACGAGAGAAAAATAATACAGGGCTACGCTCTAGTAGTGGCCGGATGGGTAGGCCATGCTGCGGCCGACAGGTGAAGCTGTCACACACACAGGACAACACCTCCTAAAAACGTGGCTTGGGAGGGTGGGAAAACCGACCGGTTGCAAGATTGGGGTTTCCTTCGAAAGCTTCGGCTACGTCAGTCGATAGGCCGCGCTCACGTTCAAGCTCTTGCTCACGCCAAGCTCGGACCAGGGGCGAGGACGCCGCGCTAGCCCGCAGTGGTTGAGTGGAGCAGCTCTCACTCCACCGATGCACAGCGCTGCACCGTGGCTCCAGCTCGTCCTCCAGCCGACAGGGATTCTGCTGTTTTGCCTTGTTTGGCGCATGTCTCGTTGGTGCCTTCTGCCCAGGCCGAACAACAGCGTCATGTTTTTCCCTGCCGGCCAGCCACCACGGCGTTGCAGAGGTTCACTCCCTTGGCCGAATTCTCTCATGTTCCACGTGTCTGGCGATACCGGCTTTTTATTCTTCTTTTCATGGCACCACGTCAAAGCTCGTTCACTAACATGTTCCTCCGAGATTGGATAGGCCGCAGGTACTACCCCCAATAGGCTGGTAGATTGATGGGAGGCTGAGCCAATGTACCCAAAACGATCTCTCCCACAGCCGGGACCAGAAGAGCTCGGCCCGGTGGGGACTGGAGTCCTCACAGCGCATGTTGCAGCCGGCAAGGTCCTCCCGCGTGCACTGCGGCAAAGAATGTGTTAGACGGCCACCTCACCTTGTGTACCTGGTAGCTCGTCGTCCTTCCATCAACCCCACATGTATTCGTCACCCGCCTTTCGCCCTCCACCCTGAAAGCTCAGCAAGCCGGCGCAATCTGCTCATTTGAGAACTGCGCCGGTGTGTGTGCCGATAAAACAAATGGGACCATATCAGAAGCGACACGAGCTAGCGACGCCAACGCGACATGAGCTTCTTCAAGTGTCGCTCAGCGTTCGTTACCAGGCCCCTCCGATTGCTAGCCTTGTGGTGATGCAAACACGATCTTGAGACTAGCCTAGATGCCTGGTCCTATGTATGCGCTGCCCCAGCCGAAATGTTTGCGTTGTAGCGGGAGGCCGCGCGCCAGGTTGGAGATTGGATCGTGCGACCCCTGACAGGACAGATGTCTTCTGGAACCAGAACAACGGAACATGCAAATCCACCCCCAGTCAATTGGCCGTGGCCCATTCGGTTGGGCGAAATAAATGCAGCAACCATTCAGTGGGGTCGGCACGGCCTGTGCTGGGGCTCCGGCTCAGATCGATAACCCACGGGGAACCTAGCAAGGAGCTGATGAAGATCATTTCTCAGAGGGTCGCCGTGTGTACGTGCCGAGCGGGCATCCAAAAATCATGCAAGTGTTGTCCAGCGTCCGACCAAAAAAGTTCTTGCCAGCCCAGATGGGGGATCAAGCGTGCGCTAGCCTCATGCGGGATCTATCGCCGACAAATCTTGCGACCTCGATGAGTTCCCCAGGTCGAGGCGTGGCCGCTAGAAATAGCGGTATAGCTGATGAGTATCTTGAGTACCTCATAGCAGCTATCGTCTTAGGGCTGCCATACTAGACAGCTCAGGCAACCCCCATGTGACCCAATGAGGGAAGCCAGGTGTCGGGCTTCTTTCTTTGGTGCTGTTAGTCGATGACAGTGTTCCAACATGAACACGCTCAGCCGCAGGCAGAAAAGCTATCTTTGCACCCCGGTAACATCGACCTGAAAAGCGCGGGCAATTTCTGTCAAGCGACTATCCGGAGACTAGCGCAGTTCGTACCAATCTGGCTCCTAATGACCAGGCTGTTAGTCACATATTCTTGATTATTCATGTGATAGCCCAAAATTGAATCCTTGACAGATCGTGAATCAGTGGGATACCGTGCGAAATAAGTTGCGAAATGTGTTTGCGCGGAACAGTGATAGAACAGAGTTGAGACCGCAAAATAGTGACTTACCCACGCCTGTCACAGCCATTGCATCATTTAGCGTCCCGAAAACTATTACAAATAAATCGGCCTTTTTATAGATAACAGATATTCCCTTGAATCCTGCTGTGAACTTGGAGCCGCAGAAGATGCTGGCAACCTGAACTGTGGCGATTGATTCGTCTATTAGTCAAGCCACATTCGCACCGCCACTCATGGGTTGCCCTGCGTGGGAGCGCCCCACTCATACCTGCGGCCCCATTTTCAACGTCGCCGCCAGTCGCGCTTGGAGAAAGCTACAACGCGAATCGTCACCCAAACCGTCGCTCACACCTCTGGAAGACATCATCACCCACCCGGATCCAAAACAGTCGCACGACGAGTACCGCTATCCCCGCGCACAAACCTCACAATGGCGAACTTTCTGGCATCAATTTTCGGAACGGAGCAGGACAAGGTACGCCAATTCGATGCCGTCCCCCGCCGTACCGTCAGATGGCTAACTGTCTTCTCCTCGCCAGGTCAACTGCAGTTTCTACTTCAAGATTGGCGCCTGCCGACATGGCGATCGCTGCAGCAGGAAGCACGTCAAGCCGACGTACAGCCAGACCATCCTGATGCCCAACATGTACCAGAACCCGGCACACGACCCGAAGAACCGCATGAACGAGTCGCAGGCCCAGAACCACTTCGATGCCTTCTACGAAGACCTCTGGTGCGAGCTCTGCAAGTACGGCGAGCTGGAGGAGCTGGTTGTGTGTGACAATAATAACGATCGTGAGTGCCAAACCCCAGGTGTTTGGAAACGGGCGCGCGCAAAACTCTGCTCCGTGGGCTGACCAGAGGACAAAAACTCGGCGAACAGACCTCATAGGCAACGTCTACGCGCGCTTCAAATACGAGGACTCGGCGCAGAAGGCCTGTGACGAGCTTAATAATCGCTGGTACGCGGCGCGGCCCATATACTGCGAGCTGTCACCCGTCACGGACTTTAGAGAAGCCTGTTGTCGTCTTAACAGCGGCGAGGGCTGCGCGCGCGCCGGCTTCTGCAACTTCATACACCGCAAGAACCCGAGCGAGGAGCTCGACCGGGAGCTGCAGCTCAGCACCAAAAAGTGGCTTAAGATGCGCGGCCGCGACGAGCGCTCTGTCAGCCGCTCGCCCAGCCCAGAGCCTGCTAGGCGCCGGTTCTAGCCTCCAGGGCCATTGAAGACGCTCATTTATGTCTTGGGACTGTATAATTTCATCCTTTGGAGTTGGGGCGTCAAAACTGCATAATTATCGAGGATTGGGGGTTGCCTAGTAAGAGGTTGCTTTTATGTTGCTGGTTATCAATACCCCAACTCTAGGGCCACTGGGAGGGCAGCGAGATCTGCGCTTCCTCGGAGCGCGTTGCGTGCTATGTAGATGGGCTTAGACTCGAGTCCTTCCAAAATAGAAAACTCATGAGACGAGGTTAACCGTGCAGTTCATGTTGGCGACTGGATATGTAATTCGCTTTCAACTATGGCTCCAGATTCATCTTCTTCATCCTACCTTCATTTTCCATCCCTTATTTTGGTATGGCAGGAAAGCGACACCTAGTCATGGGGACCTCAAATCCTCTTCGGGTGTGGAAGAGTACGGAAACTGCTGCTTCAATGCTGCGCCGATGCTCAGGAAGCCTATTATGAAGCAAGACAAATAACGATAGGAACAATGAGAGAAAAGAAGCCATCTATGCCGTCGTCCCTTCGGCGGGGCCAGATATTAATATGTGTGAGCTCCAGGCTGCGCCTTTATGTTTTCGGACAGACCTCACCTCTGCACTTGAGAGCCGGCTGGCGAGAAGCTGAGTCCAAATACAATACCGCAATCGTGCGCCTTATCGTGGCCCGAGCCTTATAATGTGTTGTCCAGCCTACCGTAAACATCGAACCCCGGACGCCAAGTTGGTGTAGCGGTTATGAGGATGGGTCGAGTCGACACCGGGACCCTACCTGTACTCCGCTGCAATAGCCGCTTGGGTTGGGGGTTCGAGCCCCGGTAGGGGATATGTCGGATTTTCCGTCGCGAAGAAAACCCACCAAGTGGGAGGTTTCGTAGCTGTCCACCCTCGAGGTTGGGCAGTAAGCTTTTTGCTTTTGGAAATGAAATAGGAAATATGCCAGTTAGCCCCCAAACCCTTTTTTTTTAGCCATGCGCGCGAGCTTGGGCCTGTTTGCGAAAGAACTTAGGTCGCCGTTGGCTACCTGAACGGTTATAAACAAAACCCGCGTGGGAAAAGCTTACGACACGACGGGCTATACTACAAGTTCCGAGAGTTTCCTGCCGCATTGCTTACCGGCATATGTGCAACCGTCGATATTAATTAAGTATAAGCATAGAGTGGTTGCCTATGAGGAGCGGAAGGACACAAAGCTAGCAGGGTATTTGGAAGCGGCCTCCATAGGCCGTGGCTGGGGGCTTCGAGATGCCTTTCGATTTGCCCGGGCCCTGGGGAAGGTGAATCTGTTCGGTTCTCATAATTCTAATGGAGCATGTTGAAGGCGTAACAGTAGCGCTTAGCGCGAATACGGAGAAATGTTTTTCTTCCTTTTAGTAGCTAAAGTGCGCATTTTGGCACGAGTGTGTTATGTCCTTTTCCACCACACTTTTGATAAGCTTTTAAGATTCCCGCTATTGTTATAATGCTGATAGGTTGTCTTTGGAGGCAGAGTAGCGTTTTAATTTTCATGTATGGATACAAACAAGACTTATATAGCGTGTTGTGTTGTCTCCCTTTTCGGGGGTGTCGAAACTGAGTGCGCAAGGCGAGCCGTATATAGGGAAGTTGTATCCAGAAGGGGCTGTGCTGTAGAGAAGAAAAAACACGCGATCTGCAACGAGCGCCCTTATTCTCTCTTCACACCAACTTTCCCGACCTGTGATTTTTGCCGTTAGTCTTTGTCTATTATTTTCCATGTGCCGAAGGCATCAAGAACCGGGGGGTGTCACTCACCTTTCTCAAGCCGACGACAGCAACGGCAGTGCAAAGCAGCATCTGCCCAAACATGGCCCAGAAGCTGGCCCGGTAGCCCCTCAGCAGCGCGCCCACCTGCTCGTCGTCGAAAGCCCCTCCGCCGCCACCCCCATGGCCGCCGCCGCCGCTGCCGTTGCCCGCGACGCCGAGGGCGACAACCTGGCAGACGCCAACGCCTAGGCTGAGGCCGAGCTGGCCGACCGTGTTGAAGACGGCGCCGGCGAGGGCCTGGGTGCGCTCGGGGAACGACTCGCTGACGACGATGAGGCCGACGGTGAAGAGCACGTCGGCGCTGACGGGCACAAGCACCTGGGCCCAGAACTGGCCGTGCCAGTAGCTCCAGGCCGGCTCGACGAGCGCCATGAGCAGCGGCGACGCGGCGCAGAGCAGCGACGAGCCGCCCGTCAGCCAGCGCGCGGGCAGGCGGTGCACGAAGACGCCCGTCATGAGGCTGAGCGCCGTGCCGACCACCACATTGGGTAGCAGGAAGAGCGAGGCCGTCAGGGACGAGCGCCGCTGCACCTCCTGGAAGTAGAGCGACGAGAAGAGCTCCATCGAGTTGACGGTGCCCCACGAGATGGCCACGAGCGCACAGATGGTCGTGAACGGCACGTTCCCCCAGAGCGAATTGGGCACCAGCGCCGGCCGGCCCGCGCGCTCCCGCCTCCCCATCCAAAAGGGGAACGACGCGAGCAGGGCCAGGCTGAGGGCCAGGAGCGATATCGTTGTGGCTGAGCGGATCATCTGCAGGTCCGCGCTGAGGATGGCGAGCACGTAGCTGAAGACTGTGAGACCCGAGCTCGCGAGACCCACGCCGACCCAGTCTATCTCGGTGCGGAATCGCGACCAGACTCGGCCGCCGACGCCGCCATCAGGCGCCGGGGCCGGTGTGGTCTTCGGCAAAGTCCAGCGCCCAGCTACGGCGGCGGCAGCGAGCAGTCCGCCGGGGACGTAGAAGCCGATGCGCCACGTCGAGTACTCGGCCAGGACGCCGCCCAGGACCAGGCCGACGCTGAAGCCGAGGGGCTGGCTGAAGCCCAGGGCGGCAAAGCCAAAGTTGCGGGCCCGGCCCTTGTCGGTGGCCGCCGCGACGAGCGAGACCGAGGCCGGGAGATGCATGGCGGCGCCGATGCCCTGGATGGCGCGGAAGGCAACCAGCTGTTCGCCCGTCTGCGCGAAGCCGGAAGCAAGGGAAAAGATGCCGAGTATGGAAGCCCCGGTGATCTCGACGGCGCGCGCGCCGATTAGATCCGCTGTGCTGCCGGCCAGCAGAAGCAGGGATCCGGAAGTCAGTCCGAACACGCTGACTGGCCAAAGATATCTGAAGACGCACAGCTAGGATTAGTATAGGGTACCTTGATTGCCTAGTATGTAGTTGCCTGATATCTCTAGACCATCCAAGGAGTTGGTTCCCATCTCTCTCGGCCAGGGGGGTCTCCGCTTACAGCTGCCTCTGTAGATTGACAGAGCGCGCAATAGTTGGCAGGCAAACCGTGATGATTCCGTTTGTAAACGAGGTTAGGAAATTAATCAGCGCCGGTTGCGTAATGGCCATGACCGTTAGGATCATGGGCCGCCGGTTCGCAGATGGGCGATCGAAATCCAAGCTGACGAGCGAGCCATTGTTATCCGACGGGTCGCCCGACCTTTCCTCGCTCGGCGCGGTGCTGCTGGCATGTCCGGCAGCGTCCCCGAGGACTCTGCCTGAGGCTTGGGCTTTGATAGGAACCAAACCCGAGACAGGAGGAATATCCGTCTGGAGGCGGCAGTCAGCCGTGATGGTGGTCGTGGTAGTCATGCTATGGCCGCCTATAAGCAATATAACAATCTGTGATGGTAGAGCAGACCTGGGATTTTGAGAACTGGCTTGTCCGCTGGGGCTCGGAAACATTTATACGCAAGCAAGCAAAAAGTTTTCAGCTGAGAACCTTTGCGGTCAGCGTCTGCCCAAACGACGGTAACAAATGGATGCTCTTAGCAAATTGTTAGCAATTGTCGAAAGGCGTCCCCAGAGTACAGGGCGCAGGCCCCAGTTTTCGTGTCAGGTCCAGACACTCTGTTGGCGGGTTCTCTTCCTTCAAGTTCCTCCGGACTGGCGGCCCCATGGAGTCCTCTATCCACACACCGATTCTTCACCTTCTCCGCCGCCTATTGAAAGATCATGTATTTGGTGCAAAGTCTGGGTCAGATGTCCTACAGCGGGGGCGGAATGCCGTATTTTGCGTAGGGGAAATCCTCAAGGCTCGCAAGTTGTTGTCCCCAGCCGTCTCCCGGCTGGCCCAGCTCGTGCTCATCCCCGATCCCGACAAGCCCGATCCGCCCCGCCAGCACTTCGGCCTCCTTCCCGACGTACTCGGCTGCCAAGCCCTCGTGCGGGACCCACAACACGCGCATTCCGGCTCGTCGTCCGGCTTCGACGCCGACGACGCTGTCCTCGAAGACGAGACACTCGCGCGGCGTGATCTCCCGCTCGCCCGGCGGGAGAGTCTCGTTGATCTGGGCCAGGGCCAGCAGGTAAATGTCGGGCGCGGGCTTGCCGCGGCCGCCGCGGACGCGGGGGTCGTCGCCCAGCACTTGCCTGCACTCGGGGATCAGGTCCAGCATGCGGCGCGTCTCGCCGCCGGGGCCGCTCCTCTTCATGGCGAAGTTGGCGCGCGACGTGCTCGACGCCAGCGCCGCGTGCACGCCGGGGCAGGCGGCGTCCGAGGCCAGGTGGGCCAGCAGGCGCTCGGCTCCCGGCAGCGGCTGGCAGTCGGGAAAGTGGCGCGTCTGCTCGGCGAGCTGCTCGTCGCGCCACCGCTCCCGCGAAATGGGCAGGCGCGCCCACTCGTGGAAGACGTCGCCATTGCTCGAGTCGGGCACCCCCATGAGGCGTGCCTTGATTGACCACGGCAGGCGGGGGCGGCCGTGGCGCTGCAGCACGATGTCGGCACATAGCGTGTAGATGTCCTCCGTGTTTATCAGCAGGCCATCCATGTCGAACAGGCAAGCCCGGACAGGCGGGAAGCTGTGGCGCGTCGAGGGTGAGGCTCTTGGTTAGCATGGTGCAGCTAGGCGAGGGGTAGAACGGTCCCGTTGCGATGATGACGACAGATCATGGCCGGCTGAGAAGAAATGTGTTCCTACTCTTTCTCGGGTTCAGCCATATCGCCCCAGGTCTTAAGGTAGTCCTTTCTATTGTAGATTGTAGATTTTTTTTTGTTCGTGGTATGGTTGAGCGAGCGAGGTTCGTCTGACGTTTACTACATGCACTCGGATTTGGGACTGAGGGGTTCATAATGCCCCATAGCGCCTGCCACAGTTCCATGATTACCTCTGAAAGTTCCTACATTTTACGCAACCAATTATACCGTTCAATCACTTGCCTGTTTTTGCTGTGGTGCGAGCAATGCCAGATCTGGGTTCATGTACCGTGCTGCAATGGCACCGTTCTTGGTTGCCCGTGAGTGAGCGCCAGACAGAGCCGTCATCCCGCACTCACCATTCTTTTAACCTTATCGTTGCTGCAGCTCCCCGCCCACCCACCAGCGCTATCTCAGCGCATTTTGCTCGTCGCCTCGGAGAAACAGAAATCTGCGGTTGACAGCCTCCCAGGAAAAGTAGCCTTCGCCGTTACGACATGCGGTTTGGAGAGAAATCCCTCTGATTGGGTCCTACGTCGTTTGTCTTCAGTTTTTCCGGTGACCATCCCATTTTGTAGCCATGGCATCCATCCTTCTGGCCATGGTTGCAATCGTGACAAGTCTAAATAGCACACCACCTTGCCTCTACCTCATTCAATTTATCCATTGTCAGTGCTTCTCTGTGTCTTTACTATCCAGCTTCGACACTAGCTGAGGTTCTTTGTGTTGTGTAATAGTCCCAAGCCCTTGGTCTTCATCGGCCAGATCGGTGACTTTCGTTCCAAGACCCCGCTTCGACGTCTCATGATGGATCCCGTGGATGATTTCAGCCCCTATCGAGCCGATGGCAAGCTTGTGAGCAAAACCTCGATATCTTTGACCCAGCCCACAGCTACGCTTGCTGACCTCGAGCGACATTTATTCAGTATGGCTTCGTCTGCGTTGTCACGGGTGCCTCACAGCCGGTTGGTCAGGCCGTCATCCATGAGCTTGCTGCCCACGGAGCCGCCTCCATCTACGCCTGCGACAAGGCTGCGAGCTCCGACTCGTACAAGGACCTGGTCGAGAGCGTGGCCAAGGAGTCCCCCAATACAAAGGTTATCCCGTACCCCTACAACGTGGCCCAGGAGGACGAGACGCTGGGCTTGATAGACGAGGTGCTCAACTCGTTTGGGCGCCTCGACGTCTGGGTCTGCTCCTCGGGCCTCCTGGGGCCGCCCGCCATCGCCGACACGACGCCCGCCGACCTCCAGCGCTGCTTCGAGGCGCACTCGCTCGCGCCCTTCTTTGCCCTCAAGCACGCCCCGCACGCCATGGCCAAGCTCACCGCGAAGCAGGGCTACGCCAACGCGTCGCCCAAGTCGCAGGGTTTCGGCTCCATCATCGTCGTTGGCTCCGTCGGCTCGACCCACGGCTTTTGGGGCCCGGCTTACAGCATGGCCTGTCACGCCTCCCTGGGTGTCGTCCGCGCCGGCGTGCCCGTCCTCAAGGGCACCGGCGTGCGCATCAACTGCATATCTCCCGGGCAGATTGACGTCGGTGTCGACCTCAGCGGTGTAAGTTCGGATGCGAGCTTATGCGTCCCATGTGTGACGAGCCCGATTTCTGATATGATGCATCTGCGCATACTCTTTAGGTCGATATTCGTGGCCAGGCGTCTCAGTTCCCGCCCTCTGCTTTGCAGAGCAAAGAGGTAAGCAAAACACACTGCTCGGGGTTTTGTAGCCAGTTAGTTGCCCGACCAGCCATACTGATCAACATGGTTCTCTTTCCAGAACCAGCGACGATTTATTGGCTTGGAGCGAGCAGGACGCCCACAAGAAGTTGCCAAAGTGGCTGGCTTTCTTGCCAGCAACTTTTCCAGCTACATCACTGGGGCCAATCTGGTCGTTGATGGAGGAATGTCGATGTTGAACCCGATGATGGTGCCTATTTGAAGGCAGGCCAAGTGGCAGGTTGGCGTTCTTTGATGAACTGTGGAGCTGTATCGAACTGCCCGATCGTGAGCTTATGCGACGTTCCAATACGTGTAAACCGTTCATTGAGCGTGGCTCGAGTACTTTTCCCCCCAATTGAACCGCAAGTTTCACATGGCACGAGCTAAGCTCGGGCCATCCACCACTGACCGCCAGCCGTTTCAGGGCGGTTACTGTTGTTGGTTGGACCTTAGGCAGGGGTCTCAGCGTGGGGTCAACGCCACCGAGGAAAGCCCCCCGAAACCAATGGGTCAATATTGAGGAGAAAAAAAAAAAGGTCGATTGAAAAGGGTGAAGATCAACAGCCACGCAGATGCACCGCTGAGTCGATACGGGCAGCGGAAAAGGGGAAGGCAGGCTCTCACGATAGTCGAGATTGCCTTTTTTGATGATGAGAAGAGGTTTCTTAATCCTTTGCCTGTTCCAATTGATTGGCGGCGCATCACCCCAACAATAAGGAACACACTTTCGAGGCGACACTGAGATTAAGCACACTTCTCCCCATCGTGTCCGAAGCCTGCAATCAATCCGTCTACCCCAATCCCAACCGAACCCCTGCTCCTCGACTGGTGGCAGCCCAGGCCTGATCCCCACAGCGTCGCTGGACCGACCGATCTCGAGCCGAACCGCACGCGAGCAAAGGACGAAACGAAAACTCGAGACACTACCGCGACGAATCTCGACCCGACCTCGACGGCACACGCACTGCTTCGCCCGACCGCCGCCCTTCTTCGGCCGAGCCGCCAACGCCGCCGCCATGGACCAGGCAGACATACCGGCGCTGCTCTCGCGCCTGGCCAGCGATGAGGATGCGGCCCGCAAGATGGCCGTCTTCAAGCTGCAGTCCTCCATCAACGACCCCGCCTTCGCCGACGTCTTCATCTCCTCGGGCGGCCTCGTCATCCTGCGCCGCCTCATCATGACCGCGGGCGGCAACACGCTTGCCTACTCGCTGCAGAGCCTGACCCGCCTGCTCGAGGTTGATATGGGCTGGGATATCTTCGAGGGGCCCTCAGCCGGCGACCTGGTCGAGCGCGTCGTCGAGCTTATTGTCCACAACCCGCTCGTCAACATCCTGCGCGGCGCCATGAGCATTCTGGTCGCCCTCGTGAGCCACAGCCAGTCCACCCCGCGCGGCGCCGCCCCGAGGACCCCCGGCACATTTGGCTTCCGCGCCCTCAAGCCCGCCGTCGCCGTCTACCCTCAGTTCTTCGAGCTCGTCATCCAGCAGCTACAGTCCGCCGACCACGCCCTTTGCGCGAACGCCCTTATGCTTATCAACGCCCTCATCCGCGACGCCGTCTCGAGCGAAACCCGGCCGACCTCGGGCACAGTAAAATCTCCCGCCTCATCCACCATTGGCGCGTCCACCTCGGGCGGCGAGGAGTGGTCCAAGTTCATCAAGCGCCTGCAGGACCTCGGCCTCATCAAGGCTGTATACAACCTGATGCAGAGCTCAGCCCTCCAGGACCTCGCACATCCCCTGATCGAGTTCCAGTCCCTTACGAAGGCGCTGCTTCGCAGGTGGAAGGAGGTCCGCGTCGACCTGGAGCGTCCAGAACACCGCAGGGCCCTCAAGGGACTGCACCTTGCCAGCGCCCCGGACAGACAGTATCTGAGTGGCGACTCGGCGGCGACGGCAGCCACGACGGCTGCATCCGACACAGCACCCGCGACGACACCCGCCTCGGCGGCTTTGGCGAAGAAGGCGAGCAGGCGGCACAATCCTGAGAAGTGGAGGCGACTGGGGTTCGAGACGGAGAGCCCAACGGTCGACTTTGAGGTGCCCGGATTCCTGGGCATGATGGATCTGACCGACTATGTGCGCAAGCACGAGGACGGGTTTCAGAAGCTGCTGCTGGAACAGTCGTCACGGCCCCTGGCGGAGCGCTGCCCCGTGGCACGTGCTAGTTTCGCCGTTACAATGGTGCTGTATGAGCACTTCGAGGTGGACAAGTCGGATCTGGAGGACCCGCGGACGTACCAGGCTTTGGAGGCGGCCGGCACTAAGGGCAGCGGTGGGGGCGCGGCCGGGTCCGGATACGACAAGGTGTTCCGGCCACTGCTGTTGCAGTGGTCGCGGTTACACACGGCCGGGCTCCACGCATTCTTCCGGCTCTGGAAGGTCACACGGGCGGAGCGCGACGACTTCGACAAGGTGGCCGAGCTGGTGCGGATCCTGATCGAGCAGGTGGTCGGGCAGGCGATACGGACCAAGGACGTGGGCGAAGTCGAGGAGGAGCTGCAAGAGTACGACTGCGCGCGGCTCCGGGATGTCCAGATGGGCCTGCTCGAGCTCTCGTTCGAGGACCAGTGGGGTCAGCACATGTACCAGGCGCGCGAGGAGCTCAAGCACGAGGCGCTGCAGTTCGTCAAGGAGCAGCGAATCCGCTGCCTACTCCAGGGCTCGTGGTTCTCGCGGCCGGTACCCAAGCGCGATCAGCATCAGCGGCAGGACAGCGTCGGCGCCGTGGGCCTGGCCAGGAAGCGGCTGTACGAGGCCAAGGCGTGGAGATTCGCCAAGCTCTCGCACAACCGGCGGTTCCTCCACTACGCCGACTTTGCGTCGCAGACGGCGCAGGACCCGGGCCTGGAGGACCTGACGGATAAGGTGGACCTGGGCACCATCAGCTCCGTCGTGTCCAACGTGTCGGCACCTAGCGGCGACGACCGGAGCGCGTCGAGCATGTCGACACTGCAGAACAGCGGCGGCGGCGGCGGCGGCAAAGCCAACGGCACCAGCGGCGGGCTCGCGGGCTCGGCGCCACCGCCAAAGTCGACGACCAAGATCACGGTGTACAGCTACGTGGACGCCGAAGAGGCGGCGCGGGGCGGGGAGGCGCGGGGCGGGGAGACGCGGGAGCAGGCGATCCTGACGCTGTACCCGCTCAACCATTCGCTCGCGTCCGAGTGGCTCGACGGGCTGCTGATGCTGCTCAACCAGCAACCCATCACGTCCGACACCAACAAGCTGGTGGCGCTCGTGAGCGACTACGGCCTCAAGATACGGTTGCTCAACGTTCGGGTCGAGGCCGTCTACCAGGGCCCACCCCCAGGAGCCGGGGTGGTGCCGAGCAGGGAGGGGCTGGATGACGACTACTATTATGAGCTTTAATCTCGGGATTTTTGGTGGTTACTCTGTTTATTTTGTCTGGCCTTTTTCTTCCTCTTCTTCCCTCTTGGCTTCTCACTATTTAATCTTGGGGCTGTTTTGGCTTTTGCCGCCTTTCGAATTCCCTCATCCTCCCTTCCCGTAGAGATTCCTTTTCCTTGGTCATCAAATACCCCGGTGCTCTGTACAAGGCGATGACAGCGCTGCCAACCAGTGTCGCATTATGCAAATATTCTTTTGGATGTAGAGAGGTTGATCGTTCGTGTCATTTATTACCTACCTACCTACTACTCACCTACCTATATATTGAGGCCTGGCTTCCTCTTTTCCGTGGTCTGTCGCACCACCGCTTGCCATTTATATGAGCCCTCAGCCCATCTCTGTGCAGGGCGTGTGGGGCTGCTCCCCCACAACCCACCAGTTCCTGCCAATTGCGACCTTGGCCAGACCCCAGCCACCAGGAGACCCCATAGCAACGGCTGCCCGACTTCAGCTCCCACGAAGGACTCTCAGGTCCTCGTCTTCTTTTCACGTATCCGACCAACGTAGTGGCGCTTTCTTATCCATCAGTTTGCCAACTAAGCTACCAGGCCACAATCCAGAGAACAGAAAGCAAACCCTGTCCAAGCCCACTCCAAGACAGGGGACAAGCCGGCCATGCCGCCCTTCACCCCACGCCGCGCAAGGCGAGGCGGCGGAGGCGGAGGCGGAGGGTTGGGGCGGGGCGCAAGGAGCCCAGCCGGGCCTCCCAAGGGGCTGTTCGAGACGATCAACTCCAAGTGGTACTGTACGTGCTGTCTATATCAGGGGCGGCCGGGCCTAGATCCTCTGGCCATGGCAACTCGGGCTGGTGGAGAACACTAGTCCGATCCTCAAGGTCTTCTTTCTTCGTTTTCTCGTCCACTAACCCGCCCGTCAATCTTCTGCCGCGCGCTTTTTTTTTCTTTTCGTCTTCTTTTCTCCAGGTGACTGCACCCCGCGTACCCAGGCCGCCATCCGGACAGTGCAGAAGGAAGGGAGGAACAAGGGCAGAAAGTTCTGGGCCTGCGCCAAGGACCGGCGCGACCAGTGCGACCTCTTCATCTGGGACGACGAGGCCCGGGCCCGCGAGCTCCAGGCCCAGGAAGCGGCCAGGCTGCTGCAGGCGCCGCCGTCGACGCCGCGCTTCCGCCAGACCCGCCTGACGGACGACGGCAGCGGCGGCGGCGGCGGCGGCTGCGGCTTCACGCAGACGACGGCGCCGCCCCAGACACCGACCCGCCAGCGTGCCGCCAGGGTGGACCCAGGTGCTGTCGACGACACCGACGATTCGTCGTCGTCGTCGTCGTCGTCGTCGTCGTCGTCGTCGTCGTCGTCGTCGTCGTCCGACACGGACGCCCAGATGGCCCGCGACGAGGCGACCCCGGCCTCCGCCGCCAGGAGCCAGCGGAGCAGCGCCACGGCCGCCAACACCCCGTCGCAGGCCTCATCGCGGACCCCGAGCCGCGGCCCGTCGTCGTCGCGACAGCAGCAGCAGCAGCAGAAGGAGGCGGCGGCCCCACCCCCGGCCAAGAAGGGGAAAAAGCGCAAGCACGATGAGTACTCGGACGAGGACTTTGAGGGCTCCGACATGGAGCGCGACCTCGCCGAGCTGACCGACTCGGTCGTCGCCAGCCTCGGCCGACAGTGCCGGGAAATGGCCGCCGCCGCCCCCGCGACCCCGTCCAAATCCAGCCTCCGACAACACCAGCGCGGCGGCGCCGGCCTGCCGCCCACACCCGTGAGCCGCAACGCGCCCCTGATCTCGCGCTCGGCCGACGGCGGCGGCAAAAGCCGGAAGCGTGTGAGGCTCAGCACGCCGACCGGCGGTATCAGCTCTCCCACATCGTCGCCGACCCCGCGCACCAGCAGCAGCAGCAGCGGTGGGACGGCGGCAGTCGGCAATGATAACGACGACGATGAAGACGACGACAACGAATACCGCGACGACTACGACGTGACGCGCGAGGTCCTCACCCTGCTGGGCCGCCACAAGCACAAGTACAAGCGGCAGGACCGGGACACGACGGCGCGCCTCCGGACCGACGTGCGCGCGTGCCTCAACGGGTGGGCGCTGCGGGCCGAGAGCGTCAAGAGGGCCCGCGACCTCGCGCGCCATGGCATGGCGTCGCGCGACGCCCGCGTCGCCGAGCTGCAGGCCAGGGTCGCCGCCCTCGAGGCGGAGCGCGCCGCCGACCGCCGCCGCATCGTCGAGTACAGGGAGGCGGCCAAGAAGCTCCTCGAGGGCTGATCCGTATCCTCTGTGGGCTCCCGTGTGTTGCACTTCCTTCTTTGGTTCTGGTTTGTACATGGCCCGCCTGGAATTTCGTCAGTGGGAGAACGGGCGGGCGACGTTTCATCTCGGAAGAGCTTTGAATCTAGTGTTTGCGGGCAGAATCAGTGCGCTTATTGACGATTTCATGGTTGGCTTTTTGGAGCCAAATGTTAATGATACCCCTTAAGGTAGTAACTATGTGAATTCATGGATGCTTTGCTCCGTCCGTTCGCCTTCCTAATAATTCCTGCCCGGCCTAGGATACGACTGAGTGCCACTGCCTAGCAACCTTCCTTGTAGGTTGTACCCATCTCACACCTTGTTGGCGATAGTGGCATTGGCTCCGCATTCTTCGCTCAGGCTCTATTACATAAAAGCGCCAATGAAGCGCAAAAAAGGACCAAAGAAAACACGCCAATCGTCTCATTCGTCTCAAATCATCCCCGTAGATCATCCTCGGCCGACAAGCTTTTTGCAATACGGTTATATGGGAGTCAGAAGACTTCCATTTCAAACCAGGGACCAGCTTGCCCACTTAGTTCTTTTTACTCGTGGGCATCGTGGAACTCATCATGCGACTCGTCCGTATCCGACCGCTTTATCCTGGGGAGGTCTTTCTTGAGGTCCTTCCCAAAGTCGACCAGCGGGCCGTCACTCTTGGGTGGGTGGCCAGTCGAGTACAGCATCTCTTCGATTTCGTTGCTGCCACTGGTGTCTGCGGGAGCGCCTGTACCTGCTGGGGTAGTCGCCTTTGGTGCCTGTTCGGTCGACTGTTTGCCCTCGGTCGCCGCCTTGGTCGTCGTCTCCTCCCCAAAGTCTATGAGACCCTCTGAGGCCGGAGGAGGGACCTGCGCCTTCTCCACGAGAGCATCTCTTGACGGGATTGCGTTAATCTCGCTCGGCTTCTGGCCCTTTATCACTGGGTATATGGCCAAGACCTGCTTGATCTGTTCTTCTGGCGTTTTGGTGTCACTGTAAAGCATGTTAGCAAGTCAACGTTCAAGAAAACAGACTGCCAGGCGGTCTCACATCTGTGCATTGATGATCCATTCCAGATCCTCTTCGCCTTCGTCCGGTGCTCCCTGGCCTCCCTTGACCCGCCGAAACAGGCGGGGATGCCACTCAACGCCTTCTTGCGCCCTCCTAGCGGCTTCCTCTCGCTGCATATCCTCGATCTTGGTCTTCTCGATGGTGGCTACCTCATGGTTGGATTCCCTAACAGCCTGCGCTGTCTGCTGCCATAGCCTCTGCGACTCGCGTTCTTCCTGCTCATCTATTGGCCTGACTAGAGGCGGCGAGGGCCTGGATTTGAGAGCGTTGAAGAACATCTCGCGATGGCCAGTCTAGACAGTGCCCGTGTCAGTTTTAGTGCCGCCGAGTTTGAAACATAGGGCTATCATGCCATACCTTGATATTCTTGATGAACATCTCATCGCTCCAGAGTCCAGAGAGTTCGAAGAGGATCTCTCCCGTGTTCTCGTCCCTGATTGTGCCACCAATGGCATTATAGCAACCGCTAACCCATCCCTTCATCTTGAACTCGATGTCGGCAGTCAGACCAAGCTCCGGGCAGCGCACAACGCTGTGGTCGCCGAGCTCATACTTCATCTTTCCGAACAGGATCCCTCGCGCGTACATGTTTGGCTGGGTGAGATAGCTAGGTAAAGGTCAGTCATGAGAGCAGCCCAATGGCGGTTCCACGATATCGTAAGTGGATGAATGCTTACTATCGCTCTCCTCTTGAAGGATCTTGACCGCGATTTAGGAACGTCAGGATTGCCGTTCCCTCCATGAGGCTAGCAGCCGAATTTCCCAGGAACTTGCTCCGCGGCTTCAGGGTACCGTCGACCCGTATGTGGTGATGCGGAACCATGTAGAAGTAGCTAGACTTGGGCGGGTGGTGCGATGTCTGCTCCGAGATGTAATAGGCGTGTGTGTTGTCCGGGAGGTCCCAGTAGCAGGTGAATATTTCTCCCAAAATCGGGTTGAGCGGCTTCTTGACACCCCTGGGCAAAGTCAGCGGGGTACAGGTTGGTTGATGACAAGACTTGGAGGGTCATGGGAGACTCACGGAGGGCGGATGTGCCAACCACTCAGGTAGAACTTAACAACTGAGACGAATCTCTCCACCGGGTCGTCAATGTCGGGGATAGGAAGGAGCATCTCTGGGTGAGACATGAAACTGCATATTGCCAGTCAGTTCACAGTCCACATTGCGTCGTTTCTCTCATATCCCCGCCCCTGGGATCTCGATGAAGGCCCCGTATTTATGAAGCAAACAGGTTGGCCACTCACTTTGTAATGCGCTCGAGCATGCTTCGGGGCTCGAGGATGAATGTAGGTAAAACTACTCTGCTGAGATCGGCGCCCGGGCGGAGCTGAGAGATTATGTGTGTGAGAACTGTGGGCGGTTCACGATCGTCAGAATCGTTGCTCTTTTATACGGAGACGATTATAGAAACAGAAGGGCAGCACAAGTTTATGGCATACCATTTCCCTGATCAGGCTCGACAACCTCGGTATCATCCTGCATGGCCTCAAGCTTTGCTTCGTCGACGGAGGATCGGTTGGACTTGTTGCCTGTGGGCAGTTGAAAGTCCAAACGGGAGTATTAGCTATGGAACCGAGGGGTGGGCAGGCGACGCGCCTCCGTAGCAATGAGAACACCGTCGCTGCAAGCCATGGAGAGCAGAGGGGCGGCGCCAAGCAAGCGAGGCAAACGGGACCTACTGGCATTCGAGATTGTGCGGCGCCGAGCGTGGCCGTGGCCGTGGACGATACCCTGGAGTCCCATCATCGTTGAGATCCCGGGTGCTTGGCGATGAGGGGTTTGCGAGATATCGTTTCCGACAAACGGAGGGCAACTGGCTGACTGCCTACCAAGGCGCCTAGGTAGGCAGGTACCTCTCTTGGGCTAGGTACCCAGGCAGGCTGATGGCAAACAGGCAAGACGGGCGAGGGAGGCGCTGGCAAATCGCATCAAAGGGCGAGGTTGGAAAAGCACTTGGGCGGGAAGCTCTGTAGATAGCCCCTTTTGGAGCGGCTTGGATTATGCGTCACAGACCGAATGCGATCCTCGCTTTTTTTTTCTTCCCGAGCGGAGGCAGCGGCGGGTGGGATGGCATAGAGGAGGGAGCTGTGCCCCACGAACAATGACGTTTGGCAGGCACCTAGCAGCAGAAAATGTGGGGTCGGATACTCAGAATGTCGTGGCGGTTCGGATGGCCAATGAAAAGCAGCAGCGCTTGGTTCAACCGGGAAGATGGATGCAAATGCTCACACAGATGGGCTGCCAATGTTTCTTTGCATACACGTTTTTCTGCCGTCAACACAGGGCCTTGCTTGGTGGTCACCTGCACCTGTCACTAGGCAGCCTGCCTCCCTAGCTCCCTAGCCCGGAAAGTGGATGGAGAGGCAGTCTTCCGGGGCAGGCCTCGCCTTTCGAGAGCGAGTTGGTCTGGTCCAGCACAATTGGCAGCACAGTGAGCCTGTCTCACTGGCCCTTGACAATGGTCCAACCTCTCGGGCCGTGCTGTTAGGCCAACGCTGTCGGATCGCACAGCCCGTGAGCGGGCAGTTTTTTGGTCATCTCAATTGTCAATGAAGCCCAGCCAACGGCAATCCTGACCGACGGCGAGGACTTGTTCCAGGGGTAGGAGAAACGAAACGAACGGCAGTGGCGGGAGGGCCGCGGCTGGCCGGCGTCGGTGACGCATGCTTGTTTTGTTAATCCCGCCCTAATGGATTGCCATTGCAGAATCGGCTGTCGGTTGACTCGGCCGTCAGGTTCTAGCTTGAGCTCCATCATCGGACAGCCTCAGGTGGGCCCTCCCTCCCTCGGTCTCGCCTCTCCAGGGCGGGCGTCCCAGGCACCACCCAGGACGGAGGGCCCAGTGACGAGGGCCCAACTGCAAGGAACTCGGGCTGGCACAGGAGGTCTGCTGGGAGCAATATGCAGTGGTGCCATCCCGTTTTCGTCAAAGGGGGCGAGAATCCTGACTGTGTCGGGCGAGAGTTCAGGCTGCTGGTGAGCATAGGGCTATTCTTAGGACTTTGGAACATGTTGAGCAGCCAAGGCAGCGTGTCCCATTTGACCAATGCTGTTCTGCTGCGGTGCTGCCCGTCATCCTCCCGAGAGAAAGTGGCCTGAACCACAGCCAACACCCGCTTTGTCCGTGTCTGCCGTGTGGCACCGCAGGCACTGACTGTGCCCTAGGTTCATGTAAGCACGTCCCAATTGCTGGTGCGGCCGACGTGGCTCAACTGAAGTGCTGGGCGTCGGAGCACTGGCCCCAAACTGACAGGCACCCTCCCTGACCCACCGCCCACCAAACGGGCAAGAGGGGCAACCGGTCGCATGCCACTGCGTAAGTGGCCATGCTCGATCCTCCACTCTTTGACCCTGCATCTCGACTCACCTCAATCCAGAATCCACAGGCCACACACCAAACTGCACATCACCCCCTTCCAACTCGACTGGCCTTTTTTTCTTCTTCCTTTCTTTTTCAAATCCAAGGCCTCCAGGGGGCTACATCTGCCCGACTTGTGACCCGACAGCCCGCTCAGCGCCACACCAGCCCAGCGCGCAACTATCGCCAACAGTCGTAACACGGCGGCCCAGTTTGTCGTCTTGGCCAACCCGTCCTCGACGCTCTTGGCAGAGCGCGGGTCCCGTTCGTTGTCGTCCGAGTTCACTGTCGGGCCTCGATGTCTGAATAGCTACCTCGGTGCTCATCCACCCACGCCGCCAAACCCTCTCGACAGACCACCTCCAGATAGGTCCTCCAGGTCGGATATAGATAGCGGGACACCCCCTCGACGCCAGCGATCGCCCTGTCTAGTGCACAATACGGCGCCAGGCCATCTGTGCTAGACCCATATTCTGCTACCCTCATGAACCGGGCCCGAGTCGTGCCCAAGGATGGACAATGACACCCAGGCCGCCTCCAAGCGAGGCCGTTTGATGGGGAAGCTTTTTGGCAACCGCGACCGCAAAGTCTCCAACCCCGACCACCAGCCCGGCGACGATCGAGACCTGAACGACTTCTTCCACGGTCCCACCGATAAGCTCACCGTCCCCCACCCGCCTCCCCCCACGAGCGTCCCTCTCCTCACCAAGCTCGACACTTCCAATGCCTCCCGCTACCCAAATGCCCACGAAGTCAAGAGCCCATCCCAGCAGAGCCTAGCATTTCGAGGAGCGCCTAGCCCGCAGTTTCGCAGGAGGAAGGGCCTGTCGGTGCGCTTTGTCGACTCGTGGCCACAGATCATCGGCGAGGGCGGCGACGAGTGTGAGGTCCCGACCGTCGATATATCGAAGAGAAAAGTCCACCAGAGGTTGCTACATCAACAACAGCAACCCCAACCGCCACAATCGCCACAACCGCCATCACAGCAGCTTTACCCGTCTCAGTCCCAGCCACCCCCTATACCTCCGCCGCGGTCGCCATTGCGGCCTCCAGATTACAGCGCTTTTGGCTTCGAACCCAGCCAGCAGAAAACCTATGCGCCAGACGAGCAGCTGGCGCCACCCCGGGATGATTCTTTCACGCCCAAGGCCTTGCGGCGCACGCAGACGGGCTACTCCGACATTGAGACACCACCGTCCCCGCCCGCAGCAGTCCCAAGAGTTGTGCCCCCAGGAAACGACACATCCTCACAGTACCTGGATGGCCCAGTCATACCCAAGGATGAGCGACGAAAGTCGCTTATTGAGGTGCAGCAGGCCCAGATGCGCGAGGCTGAAGGGCTGGCTTTTGCACAAGCGCGCAGGTCTGTAAGCGCTGGTGCGCCCGAACCCGACGACGCGAAGCCCTCAGGCCCTCCTCCTCCCTATATAACCCCTACGAGCTCCCCCGACCGCCGACCACGCCCGGCGGAGTCTCCTGACGCACTGGAGCGGCGCTTTAGGCAGGCCTTAGCCCCTGATCAAAGTCCCGCCGGATCCATTCACTCCAACCTGAGCTTCACCCAGTCGGTCGGGGGCTCGGTGAGGTCGACAAGACGACCGGAACCCCAAACCGATTCACCGACATCTCCCATGACGGCGAAACCTTCTGCAGCCGGTATGGCGAACTACGAGGATGTCGCGCTCAAGGAGTTTGTTGTGCGCTCACGTCACCTGTTTGAGGTTTTCCGTCTTCACTCCGAGGCCGTGCAGCCGCTCATGTCGTCTCCGTCAGACAACCTGGCCAGAGCGGCGCTCTGGTGGTTTTTGAAAGGGAGAATGATGCTTGAGATATCCGTCCGTGATGGCGCCAAAGGCCCGCCGAGCCAGGCCAAGGATATCATGAAGCAGCAGTCGTATGCAGACCTGGCCAAGGGCTACTGGATAGTCGAGGACGTTCTTCCGCAGTTGATGGCCAAAAATCCCAGTTCGCTGGACGGGGAAATCGAGGACGTACGCAAAGCTGTTACGGCAAACCTGCGGAAGCTTTCGGGATCCATGAAACGCAACGGTTTCCTCCCTCCGGAAGACGCGGTGCTGCCCCAAGTATTGCGCCTGTCCATATGGGTGGACTACCCGCAACTGAGCCAAGACATTATTGCGCTGCTCCATGGCGTCTGGAGCGGCTCGGCCCTCGCCGCGCCGCAACGGCCAACCTTGACGATGCCGATCCTGGAGTCGCTACCCGTAGGAGACACGACGGAGCACTTCAGCTACGGCAGGATCGATGCCGAGGTGTTTTTGTCGGAGCAGGGGGACCAGAGCCAGCGGTTGGCGTTCCCTTGCCTTTTGTCCATGGTGCGACCGCAAAAGTCGCCCAACCTGATTTTAGTAATCTCGAGCCAGAACGGGGCGGTGAACCTCAAGATACAGAACAATAAGACGGGCGGCCCAACGTGGAGCGACCTCCGATGGCGGAACGAGTCTTGCGCGCTCGAGCTCAAGCTACCCAGGGGCTTTCTGATACTGGTGCAGCTGTCGCAGGCCGACTACCGGATGCTCTGGAGCATGTACGATTTCGGCGAAAAGGTGCAGTCGACGCTGTACCCGCGCAAGGACGAGAAGGCGCTGTTTCGCACGACGCTGCGGGCGTTCCAGTATTTCGACTCGGACCCACAGTCAAGACAGTTCCCCAAGGAGGCCGTGCCCTCCTGCGACGTGACCCTCTTTGAGAAGGTGGTGAGGGAGGGGGCGGCGACGGGTCCTCGCATCTTCCACCGTGGCTTCCGCATAGCCGTCGTGACGGGGCCCCGGACGAGGACGCTCAGCGGGCTGAACAACGTTTACACACCTCAGATGCCGATACACTTTAGCTTTCTCAAGGACGAGCAGGGCAGGCCGGCGTTGCTCATATGGTTCGACAACGGACGTGGCAAGGGGCGCATGGTCATGTCGTTTAGCGACGAGAGGGAAAGGCTGGCGCTCCACAACATGCTGCTCGGATCTCTGGTGGCCCAGGACGAGGCAGTGTTTTCAGACGTGCCATTGACAGGCTTCACGATTTCGAAGCGGCTACGGGAGGCTGATGGGCTGCAGTGCATCAAGAAGCTACCATGGAAGAGCGTCAGGGTGATAAACTACGAGGATGGCAACGAACAGCCGCAGACGGTGCTGGCCGAGAGGCTCCGGGTGGTGTTTGACTTTCAAGACGGCCTAGTGACGGACCGGATGAACTTTGCGCCGGGCGAGTTCAAGATCAGGCTCGACATTCACGAAACGACGCGCATAAGCCTGCTCCGACCCCCGCAGCAGGACATGACGATAGGGGTGTCGGAGACGATGCCGCGCGAGGTGCCGCAGCAGCTGGCCGAGGCGTTGCAGATAATACAAGGATCGCCGACTGTGCGTACTCTGCGGTTCGCCAGCATCCCGGACCTTCACAGCTTCCAGGAGGCCGTGACGGGGTTCAAGGTGCTGTTTGACGGCATCGCGTCGGCTTTTGCCATCGCGCGGCGGCGCATGGTGGTGCCGATCCACAAGAAGTGGGAGGCGGGAGCGACGCGGGTACAGGTGGTACAGCAGAGCGAAAGCAAGGTGACGCAGCTCCTAGCATTTTTTGAGGACTGGCACCATGGCCAATGCATGGGGTTCCAGCTCAAAGGCACCGACGTGTTTGAGGCGATAGGGCGCGGCACAAAGGCGGGCATCAAGATCGACGACGCAAAGTTCCCGCTACCACGGGTGGCGCCGGACGAAAGCAACGGGACTGGCTTCGAGACGTCGGCTGACGAGGCCTCATTTGTCTGCCTGGACCTTCCCGATCTACCTGGCGAGCACGACGATATTACCATTATGTTCGAGTCTGAAGCTGGTAAGTTCTTGGCTCCTTGGACCTATGAGATGCGCTTCGTGATGTAGGATTCCAGCAGAAGGCAGAACTGACAAGCTGCTGCTCGATAGATCGGGACCGACTCGTGACTTGCCTCCCAGCGCCCGTGAGAAACTCGCGGATGCCGTCACTCAAATTCTAGTGCTTGGCATGAAGACTAAGAGAGATCACCGTGAGCGCAAATACATGGAACTGTGAGCTCGACTGTCGCCCTCTCCACTTGGCTGGTGGATCCTCACTCGGCCAAGCTCATGACGCTATTTACCGGGCCAAGCCGAGACAAAAGCAAGAGATAAGAGCATGGGTGGAGAGAAAGCCGGGACTGCTGCATTTATGTAGCATAGATACCCAATGAGGTCTGATTATTTAGAAGGGAAACATCAAAAGATTGGTGCTCCTCGTTCGGGGCAACAACGCCCTGTAAGAACCGAAGCCATCTGCAGGCCTCACCATGTTGGGTTAGTTGGACGGCGAAGGAGGCACATGACAGATGGCATGCGAGGCCACGCAGGTTTCGACAGGCTTTCGGGCATGGTTGGGTAATACTTACTGTGTAATGTTGGCTCGGAGATTCGGACCGCTCAAGAGACGTAGACGTGCATGCCAGTCAGTGCTTGCTTTACCTGCTGTGTACCTAGGTCATGGTATCTTAGCATGGAGCTGTGGTGCTGATTTAAACGCTCTGACTTGTCCACCTTGGGGACAAGCAGATTTTGTTTTTTGAAGCAACGGCGACGCTTTCTCTGTCCAATTCAATCACCTCCTTCCCCACCTTCCTGTCCGGCCGACCACACCATCACCCCCACCAAGCTACTTCTAACCGGCTTTACAATTACACCGTCCTCACACACACACACACACACACACACACACACACACACACACACTCGACTACAGCTTGTTGGTCTGCTAATCAATCAAATCAAGCACCACCCCTCTTCAACCAATCCAACCCAATCCCAGCGCAACCCGAACGCGCAGAGCAACAATGTCATCACCATTCCCGCAGTCACAGCCGCAGCCGCCGCCGCCGACGCACAGCAGCGCCGACGAGGCGGCAGTCGGCGGGGCCTGCGGGGACCACGGGCTGAGCCGCGCCGAGTTCGACGAGCTGCGGCGGCGCGCGACCGCCGCAAAGGCCACGTGCTACGCGCCCTACAGCAACTTCCGCGTCGGCGCCTGCGCCCTGTCCGAGGGCGGCGGCGGGCCCGAGGGGGCGGCGAGCCCTTATATATCGGGGGCCAATGTTGAGAATGCTTCGTATGTGAATCCGTGATGCGTCGTTGCAAATGACGATGGATGTGGAAACCCGAGAGGAAGAGGAAATAGAGGAAACTGACAGAAAGAAAAAAAACAAAAAAAACACACAGCTACCCCGTCGGCGTCTGCGCAGAGGTCACAACCCTCAGCTCGGCCGTGACGAGCGGCCACAGGCGCTTCCGGGCCCTGGCCGTCGCCACCGACGTCGCGCCGCCCGCCAGCCCCTGCGGCAGGTGCAGGCAGTTGTGAGTTCACAAACCTCTTTGTGGTTGTCCCCCGCCTACATGGACCGGAGATATTAACCGGGTTGAAACGAAAAAAAAAAACAGCATCCGGGAGTTCTGCCCCCTCGACATGCCCATCCTCATGTTTGACAAGAACGAAGACTTTATCGTCATGAAGCTTGAGGCTGTACGTCTTTTTTTTCTTGCGTTGCTGTTCTCTGCCCCCAGTCCACTGACAAACCAAACCGCCTTTGCTCCATACAGCTCCTCCCGCTCTCCTTTGGGCCTGAGAACTTGCTCCCTCCCGGCGCTGCGGCTGCGGCAGCGAGAGGCTCCGCGTGATTGAGGTCTCTGTTTTTCGTTCTGTAGCCGAGTCATAGAGGACTGAGTAGACACACTGGCCACGGGCAGATATCAAATCTACTCACATTGTCCGAACGGGTGTCCCCCATTTCTGCAATATTGTCTGCCTGCGCTGTATTCCGTTTACCCATGTCTAAGTCTACCCAACCGATCCGGTTCCGCCAGGAAACGGTCTATGCTGTGGGTATCAAGGGGAGTGGCCCGGGAGAAGTTGGGATATAAAACGAACGCATAAGCCAACCCGCACCACTCCTGTTGCTACCTTGTCACCCGGGGTTCTTTAGTGCAAAGGCCCGGTCCTAGCAGCCCCCTTATACCCGTGGAATGTGTTGGTGGCAAATCAAACGCAAAAAAAAAGGAAAAGAAACAGTAAACCATCAAGCAATCGCCTCCTCCGCGGCCGGGTACGCGGCCCAAAAGTCGTCCATCTCCTTGAGCGTCTCGGGCGCGTGCGTCATGGGGAAGTCGTGGCTGGCCCCGGGCAGAACGCGCCAGCGCACGCGCTCGTGCCCGCCCAGCAGCGGCAGCGCGTCGTGCTCGTACAGGTCCGGGTCGATGATCTCGTCCTCGCCGCCCAGCACCACGAGCGTCGTGCCGGCCCGGCGGCCCCCCGCACCTCCTCCCCCTCCCAGCCGGCCGTAGGCCTCGTCCTGGCCCATCAGGGGCGCGGCGCGGATCGTGCTCATGAAGGCCGGCACGAAGCCGCCGTGGTGCTCCAGCATCCACCGCACGTACCTCATCACCCGCCGCTCGAGGCGCTCCGCCGGCTCGTCGGCTGCTCCGGGGTGCTGCATCTCGGACGTGGCGAGCTCGACTGGGTTGGTCACGTGTTTGGACTCTTTGGTGTCCCCAATTGTAGGATGGCGGCCATTTTGTTGCTGCTGCTGCTGCTGTTGAGCTGCCTTTTGTCCACGGACGGCAGAGTTTGCAATGGGCTGTTGTAGCTTCCGCCTCGTGAGGGCGGCGAGCAGGCGCTCAGGGACGAGACCAGCCTACCGAGATATCAAAAGAGTCAGTCTTGGAACACAACACACAACGAAGCAGACGCCAAACGCCAAGCGAAACGCACGGTAAAGACCCAGCGGGTGACGGCGCCAAACGACTCGGGGCGGATCATGCCGGCGGGGGCCAGCAGGGTCAGGGACCGAACGGGGCGGGGGAAGGCGGCGGCGAAGTGAACGGCGATGCCGCCGCCGAGGCTGTATCCGGCCAGGTCGAAGCCGTCGTCGCCCGTCCAGGCCAGGGGCGACGAGGCGAGGGCGCAGAGGGCCTGGGAGACGTAGAGGCGGGCGTCGTGGGGCAGGTCGCCGACGCCGTCGCTGAAGCCACGGCCCCAGAGGTCGAAGAGCAGCACGCGGCAGCCGCGGGCGACCAAGCCGTGGGCGAGCTTGGTCAGCGTCTGGCACGACGTCGAGATGCCGTGGATGAAGAGCACCTTGCGGCCTTGCTCGGGTCCCCACTTTGAGGCCGTGTTAGTGAGGTGCTTTGGAGGGTTCCAGGGAGCAGGGACTTGCCTCATACACCCTCATGGAACCATACTAGAATGGTGGATTAGCAAGCGGTTCTTGTCTTGATATTTTTTTTGCAACTTTTACGCCAGAGTCTAACTTACAGGAGTGACGACGTCCCTCGCACCGGGGAAGGCGTCGGGCCGGTAGTCCAGCCTCTCGACCTCGTCCTTGGCGAGGCCGGGCAGCGCCGTCTTAAGCGGGCCGGGGATGACGCTGGGGTGCCGGGGGTAGAGGTAGCGCCGCAGGCTCAGGAACACGGCGAGGGTGGCGACTGCCACAAAGGCGTGGCTTGGGTCGGGCCACGGCAGGCTGGAGTCGTCGAGCATCATGGCTGGCGGGGTGGTGGTCTGGGCAAGGGAAAGGATCAGAAAGAGGGAAAAGGCGAGTTCGAAACGGGAAAGGGATGGGGAAGAAAGGGACGAGTCAAAGTGGGAGAGAGAGATGAGTGAGAGTGACAGAGAAGAGGTACACTAAAAAGTCGCACTACGGAAACTACGGAAACCGGTCCATGGCGGTTATGTTTCAGGCAGAGACCGGGGGGGTGCATGTGCGCTGGGCGTGAGCGCCGGAGTCGAGGGCGATCAGGCCTCTTTTTTTTTCTTCCTATCTGCCCGTTTTCTGTCGTGTCAGCCCGCCCGGAGCTGAGGCTGACCGAGGCTGTTTCCAAGTGGGCGGGCGTCTGGTGGGCTGTTCCTGCTGACCTGAGCAGCCAATGATGCGGCCAATGCACTGGCCCAAGGCACCAGCACGTGGCGCCGCCTGCTGAGCTGGCCCTGCGATCCAACCCGGCCACGCCTTTGGTTTCACGATTCATTCGCTAGTGTCATTTGCCTGTGGGTTGCTATTTCTGCTTTGGGCTGTGTTGTCAAGTCGCTGTAGAGGCAGGAACAACCCAATCCAGCCCGGGTACATGCAACCAGCCCCGCAATGCTGCACCGCAGCCTGAACCGCACCTCCAGACTTGAATGTGCCGGGTAGCCAAGAATATTAGGGGAATTATAGACAAGTGTGCATCCATATAATGTTAATGCCACCTGCATAAAACTCTATTTCACCATCAAGACAAAAAAGAGACTCCATCTCGGCCACTTCGGCCTCGTCAGTCCGACCGAGCCGAAACCGCTACTACACTACACCTTCCTCCTCCCAAACTGCCACCACCGCCGCTTCCTGCCCTCATCCTCGACGTAGTTCTCCTTGACCACTGACATGAAGACCTTCTCCAGCGTCGGCGCCCCGATGCTGTAGTCCAGCAGCCCGAGCTCCTCCTTGTGCGCCTCGAGCGTCTGGATGACCTCTCCGATGGTCTTGTTATCGCCGCGGGTGGTGCTTTCCCCGCTGCTGCCGCTGAGCTCGTCCTCGGGCAGTACGGCCTCGCCGTCGGCCGTGGCCGCCCTGCTGATGCTGCTGCTCGTGCTTCCGCGCCCGGCCTCGCTGTTGGGCACCGTGAACTTGACCTGCCCGCCGAGGCTGCGCCCCTCGAACGCCACGGTGCCGCCGAACCGCGCCCGGACCCAGGCCTCGACCCGCTCCATCTCGTCGCGGGTCGACTCAGGCGCCGACCGCAGCACCAGCTGCACGTGGTAGAGGTTGCTGTACCGGCCCCGGAGCTGCTGCGTCGTGCCGATGGCCAGCAGACGCTTCGATACGATGGCCGCGCGCGTCGCGAGCGCGTCCGCCTCCTCCATGCTGTGCGTCGTCAGCAGCAGGCTGCGGCCGGGCCCGACCTCGGCCAGCGTCCGCCACATGACGCGCTTGGACGCCGCGTCCATGGCCGAGCTGGGCTCGTCCAGCACCAGCACGTCCGGGTTGCCGATGAGCGCGATTCCCAGGCTGAGTTTGCGCTTGTTGCCGCCCGACAGCTTGCTGGCTGCCCGCGAGGCGTGCGACGTCAGGCCCGTCTTGTCGAGCACCGCGTCCACGTTGCGCTTGACGTCGTCGACGCCGCGCACGCGCGCGTAGAACTCGAGGTGCTGCCGCGCCGTCATGAGGTCCAGCGCGTCGAACTGTGGGCACACACCGAGCGACCGCTGCGCAAGCCGCGTCTGCCTGTGCACGTCGACGCCCCGGAGCATCATCCCGCCCGCGTCCGGCCGCAGCTCCCCCGTAATCATGTTGATCAGCGTCGTCTTGCCCGCCCCGTTGGGGCCCAGCAGCGCCAGGATCTCGCCCTCGCCCAGCCCGAACGTCACGTCATCCACCGCCTTGTTGCTGCCGAACGACTTGCTGACGTGAGACACGCGCAGCAGGTCCGTCGTCGTCGTCCCCACCCGCGCCGCCTCCTTAGAGACACCGTCCGTGGCCGCGCCTGTCAGTTCGGCCTCTTCGTCCTCCACTGTCCCGTCCGCTGGCAGCTTCTTTTGCTGCACCGCCTGCCTGAGGAAACTGCCCATGGCCGCAAAACTGTTGCTCGATTCGAGCCACACCAGCAGCAGCGCCAGGAGCACGATCTGGATGAGCAGCAAGAGGATAGGCCCTCCGTACCCGTGGATATGCCCGCCATACGGGATGTGCCCATCCGGGCGGCATGCGAGCTTGAAGGTGTTGAGGCCCACCATGAAAGACTTGAGCATGCTCGCAACCGGGAAGATGACTCCGAGGCCCCACGAGAAGGAGTCGGTGACCCTGAGAAGATCCTCCGGTTCCGTGTTGAAAGGCGCGATGAAGAAGGCCAGAAACGTGGCCAGGTAACCGACAATGTTGAGCATGAATGTCCACATAAAGGCGGCCAGCTGCGTGCGGGCCAGCTTGGCCGAGACCAAGTAGGCCACAAGCATCGATGCGAGGCCGTACAGAAAGGCCACGATGAACATGTATCCAGGCTCATACCACGTGTAGCCGACCTGCGATGAGATAGTGCCCACCAACACGAGCGAGGCCACGAGCACGATGGACGAGTCGAAAAGCAGGTGCGACATCCAAAGGGGGAACGGCCGGACACCGTTTGTATACTCGAGTTGGCGGATCATGTGCGACCTCTCGAAGGCAACGTACAGCGAGAAGAAGCCAGGATAGATGGCCAGGACGGCGCAAACAGCCTGCAGTTTGGGTGAGTACGGAGATCAAGATAAGAAAAAGAAATAGGAGAGGATCGAGCATAGCAAAGGGTAACGTACCAAGATATACCCTAGACTGTCAAACCCGTTCTCACCGTACAGTATCGAATAACCCCTCTCCATGGGCAAGGCCCCAATCTCGGTAGAGATAGTGGCGCCCATCTCCATCGTGGTCCAGAGGCCGACTTGCGCGGCGGTGTTGGACTGGACGCTGTACTGTTGCAGCTTGGTCGCAATAATGGCCGAGTTGCCGCCGTCCTTGACGAAGATACCCTGGCTCACCTTGTCCTTGTTGTCCCGGACCGTGTTTTGGAACTCCTCCACCGTGTTGACAAAGATCAGGTTGGGCCAGTACCGCGCCTGGAGGCCAGGATACATGGTGTACACGGCCCGGGTCAGCGAGGCGTTGACCGACGGCGGGCCGATGGGGACCACCTCCGATGGGTAGATGTTTGGCAGGGCCGGGTATGCATAAGGCTCGTAGATTCGCGCAGGCTCTCTAGTCTCGTCCCTCGCCTCGCATGCAGGCCGCTCGTACGGGACCATGCGGCCCATCTTGTAGACGTTCAGTAGCGGCCGGCAGAGCGGGGGCACGGCGCAGGACAGGGCGAGCGCCAGGAGCGGCGCCACCCAGTACCGCGGGAGAACGGTGAGGCGCTTCCTCATCAGGACCACTATCTGGCGGAAGGACGAGATGGGCTTTCCGGGAGCAAGGGCTGCGGCGGGCAGCGACGCGCCCCCTGCCGGCAACCTGCCGCCGTCACCGAGCTCGCGCTTCAGAATCTCGTCCACATCCGTGGTCAGCCGGAGAAAGACGTCCTCGACGGTCGGGCCTGACATGGCGATGCCGCGCTGGCCGTCCTTCTCGAGCTTTGAGATCAAGGTCGCCGCCGCCGCCGTGCTTGGCACTTTGTAGCAGATGCGATCCTGGTGCGTGGTCACGGGCACGCCCATGTCAGGGGCCGGGTCGGTCTTGGGGATGTGGACGGTGTAGCCGCCCCCGTACTTGCTCTTGAGCTCGGCCGCCGAGCCCTGGCACATGGCCTTGCCCTTGGAGAGCAGGACGATCTGGTCGGCCAGGGACTCGCCCTCGTCCAGGAAGTGCGTGGTAAAGATGACGGACCTGGTCGCCCGGATACCCAGGAGCATGTTCCAAATGGAGCGGCGGGAGATGGGATCCAGGCCCGTGGTCACCTCGTCGATCAGGCAGGTCGTACTGCCGCCCGCGAGCATCACCAGACATTGCAACTTTCGCTTTTGGCCGCCGCTCAGGTGCCGGGCCTGGCTGTTAATCTTGTTCTTCAGGTCGCAGTACTCGACGAGACCGCGGATTTCCTCCTCGTCCTCGTGGCCGTTCTTGATCCTGGACCAGATCCTGACATGTTCCAGGACGGTCAGGTAGGGAAACAAGACGTTCTTTTGCGGGCAGACGCCCAGCTTTGTCGGAGCCGAGCTGATCTTAACCTGGCCGGCCGTGGAGGAGTGATGGCCGCTGAGGATATCGAGCGTGGTCGACTTGCCGCTACCGTTAACACCAAGCAGACACAGGATCTGCCCTTTGTGCGCCACGAGATCGAGCCCGTCGACGGCGGTGACGGTAGACTTCCTGCTAGCGCAGCAGAATATCTTCTTCAGAAGGGATGGAGGGTATTCTTTCCGGAGGCCGGTAGCCTCGATGGCGGCAGGCGAAGCATCAGCCTCGGGTCCTTGCACGAAACTCCTCCTCTTAAAGCTGACACCATGCAGTAGGCGTTCGGCGAGGATGGCAAGGAGCGGGTAGGCAAGAACCTGGATGACGACGAAAATGAGGTACATCCAAATGCTGAGGCCAATAACTTGTGAGCTCGGCTCTGGGGGGCGAGGCAAAACGGGAGTCCAAGGCTGCCTGATCTTGTATATATCCATCCACACCTTGCCAACATCCACTGGCGTCTGGGCTTCGATAGAGCGGGCCATTAGACACAGCGTGTGAATAAAGTTGGCGCTAGGGAACAAAAACGCAAGGGCGATGGCCGTCCCCTCGCTACCGTATGTGTCGCTGTCCACGATGAGCGCGCCGGCAGCAAGGCCGATGTTCGCTGCTACGGCAACAACGCTCGAGAGCCTGGCACCACGGAAAAAGCTGGCGGCGAAGACGGCCGAGTTGATGATGGCCATGGTGGCGAGGATAGACCAAAACAGGACGAGGGCCGGGTGGGCCAGCGGGAGGACATATTGGCGGTACAGCACGCCAGCTGTTATAGAATACGGCAGGTACAATGCGTTGAAGACGAGGATATTGCTGCACACTCTCGCCGCCGCTGCGCCGCCACCCATGACATCGACCAGATGAGAGATGCCTTGGCCCCTTTCGGTAGTGATGAACCCGACGATGAGGTAGACACCAAGCAGCTGGGTCAGGAAGTATATTAGAGCGAGGGAAGCGCGGGTGTTCTTCGCGGACTCGATTTCGAACTTCTGGTCGGCCTCGTCTTGGGTGGTTTCAGAAAACTGAAAGACTTGAAGGCTGGGCTGCGTTCTGTTTGTAATCAGGGCGTTTATGGCAAGCTGCAGGGGGACGACTGTGGCCAACTCGGCCGAGTTGTAGTCGAAGACATCGAAACTCAGTGAGAAGCGTTGGCCAGGGTCCATTAGGATGCTATAAGTCCAGTTACCAGTCCCATTCGGGCGACTCAATGGGGCTATTGGCACAGCAGCTTCAGAGTCAGTCATCATGGGAAGCAAAAAGGGGGTCAACTGTAAAGATCAGCTCCTCAAGTGGTAAACAAAACTCACAATCCTTGAACCAAACAGCAGAATGGCAGTTGGAGAACCCCTGACGATTCACGATGCAACGGGATTCTATGTCTTGCCACCTGTCCACGACGACCAGCTTGTTATCGCGCTTGGCCACCTGGTCACGGAGACCTTGGACGACTCTCTGAATGTCACTGCCTCGGCTGGCATTGGCAACGATCAGAAAGTCGCGGCCGCCGCTGAGGCTATCCTCGAAGGAGCGGACAGTGTTTGGGGCGCCGAAGCCGTGGACGCTCTTGGGGCGGGCGAAGTTTTGGATATTGGTAAAGACGCCGATCAGAACGATGGGCAGTATCAGGCACTGGATGGCTGTGGCGAGCCACCGGCGAATCACGAGATGAATGAGGTTCTTCCGGGTCAGCGCCCACGTCTGTCGGCCGAAGACGACAACAGGCGAAGAAGACGCCATGGTCGGGGTCGATGCGGGGCCGGCCATGTTGACGGACAGCTGATGTGGTGGCGTCGCGGAATCAACCGAGCATTAGGAGAAGCTCTCAGTCCTGTCAAAAAGGAAGGAGTGAGACGCAGGAGATATATATTTCTAGGGTGCCCTGTCAAGCCGCACGCATTTTCAGGAACTGCCTTGCCTTAGTGCGCGCGGGAGCGGGTGAGATGAGTCCCCTTCCATTTGTGGGGATGGTGGGCTTAGGATCCGAATCCTACGACGCCCAAGGCGAGCGGTCTCGCGTTGAGTTGCGAACCTTTGTGGGAATGCTGCCAAGCCTTGCGCCTCCAAAGGTGCCGTGCGTGTAGGGCGGTAAGGGGGTAGGTAAGGGGGCGCTATAGGCTCGTCTGGGTAGCCTTGCCGAGGCGACGCTGGCTGCAGCGCCGCAGCAGCAAACGATCCGTATTGCCATCTCACCACGCTAATCATCTGGCGCGAAGAGGAAGTATTCGAGAGGGCCAAGGACCGCGCGCTGGAAGAAAGGCCTCAGGCCCAACAAACAGCGAATGGAATGATGTTGGTGGCACGCGAAACCCACCCTCTTCCAAAGCTTTATTCTGCTGCCTGGCAGCGGCAACGGTGGGCCCAGAAAGCTTGGCCGCCAAAAGTACAAAAACAAACACGAGATGATGTCTCTTTGGCGTTGGGCTAAGGATTAAAATTACCACTGGGTATTTTGTAGCAGCAGTAGCCTCATTGGTTCGCTTGGATGCCGGTGGCCTTATTGGGCCACACACCCTCCGTCGGCTCCGTCAGGAGAGGCGGCTGTCCATCTCCGGTAGTTGGCCCACAGTGAGTCGGCGCCGAAACGCGGGTGCCTGGCCCCGCCCATGGACAGCAGTCTCCGGACGCGCGTCTTCCAGCAGTGGCATGGGCGTGGACAGGTTCTTTACTGCGAAAACCAGCTTTAGGTCGTCTCTAAGATGCAAAGGTTAGCTGCTGCCGTCTGTCCTCCCTCATATGCGGCAGCGGCAGGCAAGGCGAACCCTATCCCACAGCGAGATAAGACGAGTAGAAAATTGGATGGCTGTGTGACATGTATTGGCCCCCCCAAGTCAACCTAGCGGTTGTGTTGCGGCCCAGCCCGAACTGAGGGTTTGATCGTTGGAAGGGGCCAAGGTTTGCAGGATGGAGGTGGTGTTTGGTTGAGGATCAAGCCGCCAAAGACACCGTGCCAGGACGAGTGATGGATGGATCGATTGGTTGGGCAGTTCAACCTGAGCCTCTCTGTGATCGTCGACGAAGGAGGAAGGAGGCACACCCCGCAACAGAAACAAATGAACTTGGAGCTGCCACAGGATCCACTCAGCCACAGATATTGCGGTGCCACAGCACGCTCAATCGCAAACAGCGCAAAGTGGCATCCCTTGGGCACGTGAATGCGCGGTTTGTCTTGAGCTGTGGGTCAAGAAGCTGTGTTGCCGGCGGCATCTGCTCCTCGCCGGGAAGCGGGCGGGCAGGTGCTTGCTTGCTCGTTTCGGGCGCCATCGCTTGACCATCACGGAGCCGCCATTGCCTGTCTTGTACTCATTTATCACGATGGCGCCATGCGCATGAAGTCTCCACCCCAAGCCCGACTCGGCCACCTCTGCTCTAGAGTGCTGGGCAGCGTCGTGTGTGCTGGACATGCTGGACTCAAAACCACAGGGCCAGGATCCCACGCTGGCACGCAGGCCTGGGTGAGGGGAACCCCTGCGATGGAGCGCCTGACGTCGTGCACACGCATATCCGATATTTCGTCACCGCACCTGCATGTCCACCAACTGCCTCCCAACCTGCTCACCGCCCACGGCGTCGGGCCTCGGTCACCTGGCTGTGGGAAAAAGGGGCAGGGCGGCGAGTGGATGCGTGGCCGGATGGCACCCGGCAAAGGTAAAGACTCGGTGAAGCAAAGGACTGCAAGCTGCGAACCGCGTACCGCGTGCCGCGTGTTGTGTGCTGATACTGATGCATCCGGGGCTGCGCGACGTGCTGCACATACGTTTTGATGGCTGATTAGCAGATTGGGTGTTTGCTCTTCGTGTTTTTGCCCCTTGCCACCGCGTGCGTTTGGAAAGATGGAAAACGGTTCCCATGCCGCGTGGGACCCAAGCTCGAATGATTCAAGGCTCCCAGGCCCACCGTTACCGGTTCCGTCTTGACTAGAAGAAGCTGGAATCCCAAACAAGAAGACTCGTCGACAGACCCAGCGACCGCGCGAGAATGTGACGGAAGCAGCCCGCATCGGTGCACGGCATGGAATGCGATCCATCAGTCTCCATTGGCGACGGCGCCCGCCAGCCAGTCAGGGCGTCCAGTCTGGTGTTTTGGTAGACAAACACACATGCTATAGATTAACAAGAGAGACAAGCCGCCGGGTGTTGCCCTGCCCGCACGGATCTGCCGGCTTGTTTGGCCATACGTGCGTGCCAGTGCAGCAACAGGACTTTAATCTCGACATGGCACACACAAGCTGGCCCTAAAGAGCTTGGAAATGTCAGCTCGCGCTGGCGGGATGGCCCTGGGAGCAAGCGCTGCAGAAGGCGCTGCGGAAGGCGCTTCGAGATCTGCTGTCGGGGCTGGCACTCGGCGCCCTGAGCCCCACGCGAAAAAGGGGAAATAGGGGGCACCGGCCCCGCGCTTGCAGGTGGTTGCAGGTGGTTGCAGGTGAGACCCTGTGGTTCTGGGTGGTGCTTGCCCGTTAGCACCGCCAGAAGGCGTCAACCGCGGCCTGTCATTGGCCGTCGATGCCAGTAGCCTCACATCGAAATCCACATCGTGCCCGCCTGCTCCTCCTTTACTAGCGCCAGGCCACGCCAGTGCTCCCTCCAGCTGTCTGCAACCTTCAGTCCAAGTCTCCCCTCACTTTTGCCTTGCCAGCCGACCGCCACTACCCGAAAGCGTAAAGCATTGAAATCAAGAGTCTGATCCATCTAGCCGTGCTTCCGCCGCCCTCTTCCTCTTTTTTTTTCTTGCCTCGTGCCTCGCCAACAGCTGTTGTTGTAGGCCTCCCGTGGTGGCAACAAATCCAATCACAAACAAGCTCACGCTTCCCGCTGTTGATTGCACCACCACCGCCACCCCCCAAGACTTGACGTCTGATCCGAGTCCCCCCGCTCGCACGGCGTTCTCTGCACGCGGCAGCACGGTAGTGCCCGTTTCTGATTATTTGTTTTGTCCCGTTCGCGAATCAACGGCTTCGCCCTGAAGACGAGCATCCTTCGCTCTGCAATCATTCGCTGGGTCTCCTGCCGCCTCCTTCTGCCCTGCATTCGTTGCCCGTGCTCCCGCCCACGCCCACGCCCTGTTGTCGTTTGCGCCGCCCCTCGAGCTGCTGCGCCGTTACACAACAAGCCTGCGTCGAAACGGCTAAATACAAACATAGCCGGCCGCCGGTCCCCGAGCTCTAAGCGATTCACCCCCGTGTTTCGCTGTAGCAAACGTAGCAGCAAATAACAACCACAACAAACACCGGCCGCACGACACAGCGAGGCAGCACCCATCTCGACACTGCCTCCTCTTGCTCAACTCCGCCGCGTCCTCCACTCCATGCATTCTGCGCCGAGGTGACATACTCGCGGGATTCCCGAACGAGACGCCAACACAACGACACCATGGAGCCTGTTCCCGAGACGGAGAGGATGGAGGAGTTCAGGTCCACGCCTTTGCCCCCTCTGCGAATGCACAGCTTGTCGACCATCCCCGATGCCGAGCTCCCACGGAAGCCCCCGAGCATGCGCAGGTCTACTGAACCCGCCTCCCCGAGCTCTCCGTCGGCCTGGTTTCCCCCGACCACCCTGCCATACAGGCCTCGGACCACTTCACCGCTCAGCGGCTCTACCCACGTGCGCTCCAAGTCTGCGGTGAGCCTCGCGCCACCCATGATCCGCACACAGTCACTGCCGGCATTCGGCGGCGGCGGCCACTTCCTATACTCGCCCCAGAAGCGCAGCCAGAGCCCATCGCGCTCACCCAGCCGGCCGCAGCAGGTACGCCTACCCAGGAAGCCCGTAGACGAGGCATTCCCTTCATCGCCCACCCGCGTCTCGGTTCACGACCCGGAGAGGAGGCAGCCCGACCGCAGCATCTCTCCTACCATGGGAATTGCTCCCGTGCCCGCAATGTCGTCTCCGCTCGCCCGAACCCGGCCCACGTCCCCGCTTCGCCACGTCTCCCAGCCGAACTTATACATTCCCTCACTTCAGCCTGCCGTGTCGTATCCCAATGGACCGCCTCCCTCGTCCTCGGCGACGCCATCACCGTCCTACAGGCCGTATGATTCCATATCCGGCTACGGCTACGGCTATACCGCCTCTATGTCATCGTCGTCGGTGCCATCGACGCCCACCTCGATGCGGTCTCGGAGCCCCAGCATCTCGAGCCTCGAGACGATCCCGGACACGCCCGACGCCGAGGAGGCGGCCCTCGAGGCGGAGCGCATCGCCCAGCTCAAGGCGGCCGCCGACGCCGCCGAGAGAGGCGAGACCAAGGGGAGGGGCAGCCTTGATGTCCCTGTGAGGGGCCGAATGATTGGCGGTGGCTTCGGTTCGAGAGACAAACGCAAGAGGTGGAGTGTGTGTGGCGCCGAGCGGAGGGGCGACATCGATCTCGAGACGATTTGGGAGGACTAGGCCTGACTGGTCCTCTTTTGCTCGTCGGCTCTTTTTCTACATGATAGTTTTTTTTTTTCTGCACTTGGGCGGGATAGGGAAACGATTCTCTTGCTGTTTTTGTTTCGCGAAACCTTGGAGTTTTTGATTTTTGGAGGAGTACTTGGCGTTTCGTTTAAGTCTAGCCTGATACCCTTCCTGCATGCTGCATTTGCTGAGGCACACAACATTGGCAAGACACCCAAATAAAGTCTGCAGTTCAGATCCCGCTAGTTGGAACTCGCATTGCCCGAAAGTATCCTGGCGGCTGCCTTCCTGGATTACTACACGGTGTTCTGGTGTTTGAGGCATTGCCCGCAACGGTACGGTTTCGCTGTGCTTGACGATTTACTCGGCTTGGGAATCTGTCTCCCTCGTCTTTGGGCCCTTCATTTCGTTCCCTTTTTGTCCCTGTGGTCTGGATTTGGGGCTATACTGCCGTGATCGATACGGTGTCTGTTCAGTTCAAAACTCATGTGCAAGAGCCATGATTGCGGAGGGAGGCAGGAGTCCGCCCTCCACGAGGCCCACCCAAGACATCGGTGGGAGCTAATCGATCAAGAGGGAGACCGAATACAATAGAGCCAATTAAACCAAGGAGCAATACCCCTTCGGTTGGGAGACATCAGCCCTCAACATAGGCAACCTCCCTTTATATCCAACTCCATCGATTTACTGATCGTCCCTATCCCATCCCTGGAAATGTTGCAGTTGGCAGCGGTCTGCGGCTATAAAGCCCATGAGCCTGCTCGTCCTTGATAGAGATGAATGCTATTTCTAGGACACGCCTCGGATTTCCACACCACCACTCTGTGATATACTGCCACCTCGTTCGGGTTCGGGTGCCAGATTTTGCTCTCATATTTCACTCTCTCCATCCGCCATCAAGATGCACTGTTTGTTGCTTATTCAGGCTGCAACAGCCCTCTTTGGTCTTGGGGCCAATGCTCGGGGCGTTGATGTGAGTTCAAAACCCCCATGCGATACTGACGAGACAGGCGTCCTAGACGTGATGCTAACGAGGCGGGCATGAAGGAAATCCAGAGGCCGGGCGGCGTCGTCCGACGCAGCCCCTTCCGCGGCCCGCATCAGTTCGCCCTCACGACGGGGAACGGGACGCACCCCGCCCCCAACTCGACGGCCACGAGCGGCCCGACGACGGGGCCGACGGGGTCGCCGCCGGGCAATGGCAGCAGCAATACGACGACGACATATTGGCTCTCCCGGCCGACGACGACTGGGCCGCAGACGGACTGCCCTGTCCAGTTTGTGACGTCCACCATGACTGTTGGCGTCACGGTTGTTGTAACGGGCGCCCTGAACACCACCACATCCTCGGTGACTACGCGCGGGCCGTCCACCCCGCCGTACTTTAACGGCACCACCGCCACCACGTACTGGCCCGGGACGGGCACGGGCACGGGGACCGGGGGCGTGACCGCCACCACCACGACGGGGCCCTCGTCGACCGCTTGGACCGGCAACATCACCACGCGAGGGCAGTGGGCCACGACCAACAGCACGACCAGCATGCCTACGCAGCTCACGACTTCGACGTGGTCAGCGGGGACGGGCAACGTCACCACAACGGCCGTCGCCTCGACCGGCGACGGCGAGACGACCTCGTGCCCACCCGAAGACCACACCGCCACCGCCACCGTCACCACGACGACGCAGGTCATCGACACGACGGGCGTCACGCCCGTCGCGACGGCGCCGACGACGACGACGCAGACCAGCACGGCCCCGCCGACCGCCACGGTGGGCGGCGGCGACGCGCCCACGGGCACGCCCCGGGCGCGCAACCAGTACTGCGGCGTGCACGGCCTGCCCGTCGGCAGCTACTTCCTGGCCCAGTTCGTCGAGAACAGGGTGGGCGTGCCCGTGACGCTCGAGGGGTGTTATCAGTTCTGCAAGGTATTTTTTTTTCTAATCTCTTCTCTTCTCTTTCTTCTCTATAGCATCAGTCAGAAAAAAAAGAAGAAAAAAAACAGAAACGAAAATCACATTCTAACCCAACGAACAAAAAAAAACAGGCAAACTTTGACGCAGTCGGCGGCTGCCGAGCCTACGACTTCTACCTCGAGCCCGGCCTGGACGTGCCGCGCTGCAGCCTGTACGGCAGCGACGTGGCGTCGGCCCTGCGCGCCATCGACAACAACCAGCCGCACTGGTGGTTCGACGCCGCCTGCGGCAGCCCCCTGGACCCGCGCTGGCGCGCTGGCCACGCCGGCGTCAACGACCACCACGTCGACTCCTTCTCCGTCTGGCGGAGGCTGATGCGCCGGGGCGGGGGCGGGCTTGCCCTGGGACCCAACTGAGGGTTTGGGGGTGGCGTGAACGCCTGCTTGTTAAGAGGTTCATTCCTGGATAAACAGCAGGACACTTGA